CGTCGCAACATTTTGAGCTGGATTGCGTTTGGGCGGTTGAAGTGGCACCGAGAAGCCGCCCCCTCCACTTTGCACGCGCTCGATGCAAGGACAACTTGCTTTGCGCAGTGCACCCGAAGGGCGAGCGCTGCAACTTCGCCCTGAAGCGCTTGCCCCTCGGCTCCGTTATTTTTTTGTTGTCGAGGGATATGGTTATGGTTGAAAACCAATGGTACCATTTTGGGGTAGGTGCACCACCCATGGTGGTCTATTTTGTGGGGATTGGGATACTGGAAGTACGGGGTTTTGACCTATGGCCATATGGAGCCCCGAAATGGGGGTTCGGGCTCCTCTGAACTTTCCCGAGCCAAGCCCGAAGGCGGGTTCCGTCCCAAAAAGGGTTTCACCCATGTGTCGCAGGATCGTGTTTTTGTATCCAGAAGCGCATATGAGCCACAATCAACACCCGGGTAGATGAAGGTTAGTACGGGACAATCCCAGCCATAACTAGGTGCGGCCGCCAGACAAGACGATTCTGTGGACCTTCTGATACCGGAGTTTGATGAAGAAGAAAGTTGACTCACATGGCTGCGGGTCAAACATTAGGTACCCGAAATGGTGGAAACATGGACTAAATTCTGCGGTCCGATTCCTGGTGGTTTCATATTGACCCGCACCCACATGACACCAACCCAGAGAGGCTGGGCACGGAGACCGATGGGCTGCAGGCAGCAGCTTGGCGTGAAGTCTGACGCCTCTGGCGGTTTTCTCATGACAACAGGTGCCGCACTTTGCTGCTTCCTCTCCTAGCAACGTTGGTATTGAACCTGCAATATGGGCAAGGCACCTGCTAGCTTCATATTTTTGTTCTTAATCATATGTAAGTGATGCTTGTGTGAACCTGATGTATATGGCAGATATCTATGTGAGTCGGAGACGCCACTATAGCATATGCACTCACTTGTAGCGGTCGTTGCATGGGCTGGAAATTCGATGTTCTGACTGCCAACACAACCACAAGCGAAGCACTCCAGTGTTGTTTTTTTTTCCGAGAAAGTTGAAGCGGTGCCTTGTTGCGCGAGGCCAGACAACAGCAGAGTTCAAAGCAAGGCGTCTGGTGGGTGAAAGCGAGAACAACAGACACCTTCTCGACCGCCCTTCCCTTCAGTCCCTTCAGTCAAATGAGGAGTGGGGAGCGCTACAGCAGCTCTGGCAGAGTTCTGGCATGTCGCAAGCCCGGCTGCTGGCGGGCTTCCGGGTGCAGAATCGGAGCCTGATGGATGCCTTCGCCGCCCAGCAGAAGGCGAGGTCTCCGAGGTCTTGGCTGGTGGATGCGGCGAGGTCTCCGGGTAGAGGTCTGGTTGGGGTGGCCAAAATTGACCTTTGGGGATCCTTCACTCTGATTTGGGACCATTCACTCTGATCCCACATGGGGTTAGACCAAAGATTTCCAGGACAAGCAAATGCCCGTGGCGAAGTGGGGAGGCGCCGAATTCAAGGTTAGCTAGTATGAAGCACGAAAGAAGGTAGGCAAACTGTACATCTTGTGAGAGGCACGAAAGGTGAGGGGTGCTATTGGCCGGATGCATTAGGCGGCCCACGAAGAAAACCTGGACAGATGAAGATTAGGTGACAGCCCCAGAAATGGAGACCATTTGCCCTTTGATTGTTGTGCATGTGATTTGGGGAAGCTCCCCAATCTCTAAGTTTCGGGAAGGTAGGTGAGTGTGTGTGTGTGTGTGTGTGTCAAAATTGGGTCCCTCAAAATGGGTGCGGTTTCTTCTTGGAAACATCCCCCCCCAAAAGGGTTTCCTCCAAACACACAAACACCAATTTCTTGTCTGTTGGAGTTTATGGAATATACTAATCCATACGTCATATCTAGTACTACTTACAATACTCTTGGTTTCCCTTTGACCCTCCCAAAGAATCGACCCCCGCCAAAAAAAGAGTCATTGCCGCGCCTCAGGAAAAACAAACAACAAAAACCCAAGGGCCCATGTCCTGCTTCTGGGGTCGTCAAAAATGAGACCAACGGCCCACCCCAGGTGATGCAGCAACGCCTCGTCACGCCCGAGGAGTTCACTGATGGCCAGAGCCGCGAGCAGCAGCTAGGCGCGGGGAGCGGGGCGACTTGCGGGAAGCCAGATGGAGGTCGAGCTGGAGGTCGAGCTGGATGGAGGTCGAGCCCTTCAGGTAGTCCTGAGCCGTTGAATGGAGCTCTAATGCGTGAGACAGGGTGATTTGGACATGGCACGGCATGCGCAGTGGATTGTGACACTGGCCAGGCGTCCGTTTGCTGTGGCACGGAACCCGGTCCGTGCAAGGCCTGCTGGACATTTGCCGGGGCACCCAGTGTTTCAGTTCTGTCTTCCTTCTTTGATGGTATCCCTATTTTGTTATTTCAAGAGAAGCCAAATGGACAACCCTGTTTTTGGGGTCCCCTAAACAAAGACAAACCCAAATGGAACTTGCGCTTGCTAGTGAAGCCAATCGGGGCTCTGACGTGCTGAAACAAACCGCGGAATGACAGTGCTCAAACAGACGGCCTTAAGGCTGGTGCGTACTCAGTGCCCAGGCCGGGACGGCTTCGACCGCGCCTGTGCCCAGACCTGTGTCTATGGCAGGCTGGGTGTGACAAGCAGAGCTTACTTGGCACCTGGCACAAGCTCATTTTTCACCCGGTACGGTCCTACTTAGGAATATTTGGTATCGCCAATTTTTGGGGTATGTTCACTTGGAGGAACAATGCTTTGGGTCAGAGCACCTCAGGCAGCTGACTTCACAAAGGTTCCAAGTTATGAACTCCGAGAAGCCATATAGTCCCCCTGGAATGGAGGCTTTCTTTACGACAAAAGAAAAAGGTACGTTCAAAACTAGACACACACACACACACACACATGGGTATGCGTCAAAATAAAACCACCAGGGGGACCGCATGGTTTAGTCTTTGGTTCCATTTGCCAGGGTTCCATTTTGGCTATTGTTGACCCCCAGCGACATGTTGTCGAGCCATTCGCCACCAGGGGCTGCTACTTCGCCACCTCCCCGGCCTACTCCGACCGCTACGCCTGCGGGGTGAAGTTGCCGAGGCTGTGCCGTGTTTTGGCCGTTCTTGGACATTTGGGGGGGAAGCTACAGGGGATGTAGAATTTCAGGGAGAAACCACAAAACAAAGCACAGGGAGAAACCTCAGGGAGAAACCACTTTGTTCTGGAAATGGAAGCCGGCGTGACGCAACTTTGCGCTGTCAAGTCCTTTCGTGCCTGGCTCGCAGGTCGGAGGGCCGGAAGATTCGAGGGATGTTGCTGGCCGCAACTTGGACGCCACATCGAAGTTTACTTGTGACATGGGGGGGGTGCTGCCTTGTTCGGAGTGAATCACTTGATGAGAAGGCCTGCCGCCTTATATGCGTCCCTTTGGAGTTGTGCCATTGGAAGTGTCCCTGAGTATTGTGCCATTTGAATCGTCCAAGCCGTTGAGATGTTAAGACTTTAAGCCATGCAGATTTTAGCACGTAAAGCCACTAAGATTTTAATATTTTCAGCCATTCCAATTTTTAGATTTTGAGCAGGTAACATGAAGATTCTAAGAGTTAAAGCCCTTGAGATTTAAGCCATTAAGATGTTTAGACTTCAAACCAGTATTTTTAACACCTTAAGCCACAAAGACTGTAATATTTTACTCAAATCAAATACACACCTGGCCACCCACCACATCCAAACCCCACCCCACCCCAAGCCAAGCCGATTCAAAACGCCGGCTGACCGACCGAACACCCGCCCACCCACCCACCCACCCACCGCCGCCGCCCGCCCCCCGCCGCCCGCCCGCCCGCCCCGCCCGCCCGCCCGCCCCACCCACCCACCCACCCACCCGCCACTCACCGACTCACCCTCGCACAGATCCGCGTATCTGTGCAGATCCACGCGGCTTGCCGCCCCCACGCCCCGACGAGACTCGAGGCCGTGCTGGTGGGCGAGCCGGTGGTGGGCACCAACAACATGTACCCGCCTCCCCGGAAGCCCCACTCCGCCACAGGCGAGCGCTACGAGTGTTTCGGCTCGCAAGCTTTTGGGCAGAGTCCGAGAGGCTTGTGGTCTTTGGTAGGGATCATGGGTGATACTGTATACAAGTCTACTTGGTGTCATAGGGGGAAGTCACCCCAGGTTTTGATAGGGAGAAGTGGCTTGGGAGTGGGAGCCGTCTCATGGGCCCTGACGCCGGAAATCGTCAGGCCGGGAATGAAGCTGGTTGAGGTGCCTTGTGGATCAAAAGCTGATCGGCATGATACGGCGGGAAGGTGGAAATTGAGGGGCCGCCAAGGGAGTTAAGGCACATGAAGTGGAACGACGTAGTCCAAATCAAGGCTGTACAACGGACTTGTTGCACTATCAACTTTCAAGAGCAGCCATGTGAGATCTTGACACGTGGATGCTAAGGACTGCATGTGACCGACTTCAGAATCCAAGCATTTTTGTGACCTTCAAGGACGGAATGCGATGGAATGTGTGCAATCTGTGCTTGCTGCTTCGCAGTCAGAGCATTCTTTGTGATCTACTGCTGTGCAGGGAGTGACACGTACGTAGCTATTGCCTCTTGCAATCTCCTTTGAAGGCCAGCAACAAGGGCCGTGACATGCATCGGGTTAACATTCAGGAAATCTCTCACTCAGAATCAGCCCCTTCAAGGACCATCAAGCTCTTCCTGCGTACATCATCCTCTACGAGTCTTGAGCGTTCGCTTTTTCAGCTTTCGTGGAGCTCGAGGGGGGAGTGCGATGTGATCATCGGATTTTTCAAGATCAAAGCTTCAGACCGTCGCCCCAAAGACCTGTCTATTCGTGCCTTAAGGCCCTGTGCAGGCCTCCTATCGAGTTGGCTTTCTGCGTCAATTGTAGGCTTGCGCCAAGTCACTTGTACAGTGAAGGCTTGGACGCCGAAAAGCGCGCGAGCGGAGTGGAGCCGAGATGCCAACGCAACGAATTCGTTCGGAACTCCGCGTGCCTTGAGTCGGCGAAGGCACGATCGCAGGGGCGGAGCTGCCAGCGCGAGCCCGGGGCTCGGGAGGTGTCGCCGCCATTTAAGGCCCGTCGCGGGAGTCGCGTCGATCGGTCGACGGTCGCCTCAGGACGCGCAAAGCAAAGACGGCCCGGGAGCCCCAGAAAGATTCAATGGGAAGGGATTCATTGGCTTGCGGCGCACGGTGCAGCTTTCAAAAGGCCTGAGGCTTTGTCACCTGTCGACCCCTACAGCAGGGCGGGCTTTGGTTGAAGGGCATGCATGCAGTCGCTGAGGCATTGAGACAGTTGAAGCTCATGCCGTGGAGCATGCGCTGGCCACTCGCAGCACTTGGCAAAGCGGAGGGCACGTTTCTATGCAGCTCAAATATTGCATCCCTGATTGCGAATGTTTGGGCCCAGCTCTTTCGCGACACTCAAATGGGGGTTTCCAACCCTGAGACGCCTTGACCCTGCAAGATTCCACGAGTCAGGATCCTGATTTCAGGAGACATTGCTGCACCGTCCCCAGATCTCAAACACAGCACATCCAAATCTAGTCCAAGCAAGGACATCCGACATCCAGAAGCAAATGGAGATGTACACAAGCACACACCACAAAAAGCAAACGCAGAAAACCTGGCAGCGCAAGGATTTGGAGACCATGGAGGGCGCCTTGGAGTGCTTCTTTGAGTTCATGGCGGTTTTCTTGGTTGAGTACAAGGCCGGGGTAGGGAGAATTGACCTGAAGCTGGCTGAGTCTCTGGTGGGATGGCAGTGGCGATACAAAGCTTTTCGTGTTCTTCGGGCTGGAGAAGTCAGCTCGGGCTTGAGCGCTCGCTTGCTCTCGCTGAAGGAGTTGGTCCCTGTTGGCGAGTCGGTGAAGAAAGGGACATAAGACAAATTCGGGCGGCCGATTTCAAACGTCTGAGAGCTTGATGAGGTCCCTTTCTCCGCGGACTCATGGCTCTACATTATCCAGTGCAATGAGTTTTTACCCCAGGCTCGATCGACCCCAAAGGGGTTGCCCCCGTCAGGAGCAGGCGCTTCGCTCGACCTTCCTGGAGCGCTTCGGCCCAGATTTGGCAAGAGTCGGGTGCATGTCTCCTTTTTGATATGCTCGATTTCCCGATAAAGAAAACCAGAAAGGGGTCTCAAATTTTCGGACACGCCCCCAAGCGCCCCCCATGTTAAGACATTGGGTGACTGGGGTCAGAGTCTTATAGTTCTTGCAAGTAGGGTTAGCATAAGATTTGAAAGGCTGGTGCCTCATTCTTTTCACCCATCGTTCTTTTGACAAACTGATAGAGAGCCGGATGTGTGTGTGTGTGTTGCAGTTTGTGCAGTTTGTTTGTGTGTGTGTGTGTGTTTGTGTTTTGCTATTGGTTTGAAAAGAAGGACCAGGGAAAGTGCAGCTACAAATGCGTTAAGGGGCTTCTTCGGGGAGAACGCCCTCGCTGTTTGGAGTAGCAAGCTCATTTTGATCTATTTATGCCACACAACTTGCATGCATAGATTTGAATATTTGAATATTTGGATGCAGGATGCCAAGCTTTTGTCTATGGCAGCAAGACATTTGCAGATGTCGAATTTGTGAATGTGTTGCAAGCGCCTATCAATCAAATATGTATTGGATCTTGCTGCGGCCCATGAAGAATTCCTCATGTTCACACACACACATGCACACCTACAAATATGTATGTTTGCCGACTTGTAACGGGGGGCAGAGTCCCGGATATTTCTGTAAGCTATAAGCCGGGTACACTCACCGAACCACAATGAGGGTTGAGGAAGCGGACCCTGTCAGTGATAATGAAGTGGGCCACCCCCATTATGACTACGTTGTCACCATACACGGGATTGGAATCACGGAAAGTGAGGCCAAACCACACTTCCCACCACCATGAGACCAAATAGAACCTCCACGAAATGGCATTCACCAGCCTCCACGGTCTGCGAGTCGGAACGGCTCGCCGGGTGCGCATGAATGTTGACCTTAGCTTTGAGTTGTGCCAACGAAAGTGCACACTGGAACCCAGGTTCCTCAGTGCGGCGGCAAAAAGCCCACCTTTACAACTGTGGTACCCAAAGCTGCTGGATTTTGGGTTGCTCAATGCCAGGCCAATGAAGTTTTACTACGATGCCGTGGGCATGCCTCCGAGGGAGGCCCGGTTTGAGTCGCATGGAGCGGATCAGGTGAAGGTGAAGCCTGTGACAAGATACTGGCCAAAAGCTACCGCTCTCTGGGTATTTGCGTGTATTTCCCTTAACACGGCACAGTGGGATCCCTAGTTTGTGTGTAAATTTCCATTTATTTCGCCTAGAGATCGGCAGCGTTCAGGTTCAAAGCGTCGCAACGTGGGCTCGGGGTCTCCTGCAAGAGCTGGGGCTGGAGGCGGGCGCACGGCGTAGCCGTGCTCGGCTGCGTGTTTTGAGGGTTCCCTTAAATCCCTCAAGGGAAACCAGGAGGAAAGCTCAGCGGGTCCAAAGGAGGCACATACCCAGGCTCTGGACTTGGTTGGACACACACTGATCTTCTTGCTCTCAGTTGGAATGTTCTTTAACCATCAATGGGCGAGTTTCCAGGATTCCAATCAACTTGCTGGCGCTCAGCGGGGAATTCAGGAAATCCCCAGGTTCATTCCCTCATTCCCTAGCTATCGCACCAGCAAGTCAATGGGCTTCAAGCATGTTCCAACTTGCAGCGGTGCGCGTCTGGCCAGGAAGGCGCTTCTTCCACGGCAAGTCCTCCGGACGTGTGGTCCTGCCTTTCGCAGGATGTCTGGGAGGAGTGCCTTGGCCGACTCAGAACATAAGAGCCGCCCGAACACCCCCGCCCCCTCCGCCAGTTGCGACCCCGGATGGTGCAAGGGAAGCCCCAAAGAAAGGAAAGGGTCGCCGGTTTTTTGGTCTCCACGTTTTGCTTGAGGTCAGCTTACATAGAAAAGAAGAACCACCCTTGAACTGGATCAAGCACTGGGTCTGGGGCCTGCCAAGATATGTTCGAAACCTGGCGCCAACCCGCCAAGCAGAAACCGTTGCGTATTGCCCGCCCCGGGTGGCTGGGTTCCGAGGTTCACCCTCAGCAGGAACTTGGGGCTCGGCTTCCAGCAGATGGAGCTCCAGGGTGGCCTGTCTTTCGAAAAGAAAGCCCGGCGGTTTCCCCTAAGCCCCGGATGACTGTTTTTAGTCGGGGATTCATGAAGTGGTTGCCCGTTTTTAGCCGGAGTCCGGATCACTCTTGTGGGTTGCTTGTAAAATGCACCTTAGTGGGGCAGGATGGGCTGCGTCGAAACGCCGCTGGGTTAGGGCCTGCGGGTTGGCCGCTGTGACAACACAAGCCCGCGGCCAATTCTCTTGCAGCAAGCGTAGCACGACGTGTGTGCGTGTGTGTGTGTGTGTGTGTGTGTGTGTGTGTGTGTGTGTGTGTGTGTGTGTGTGTGTGTGTGTGTGTGTGTGTGTGTGTGTGTGTGTGTGTGTGCATCCCTGTTGCCAAGGGCTGATTTGAGTTCTTTGTCACACTCGCAAGCTGGAAGTCTTTGCAAATTGTCGAGGTGGTGCCGGCTATCCGGACTCTCCATTTCTTTTCCATTTCTTTTCCAAGTATGTGGAGTAGGCCACAGCCATCCTTGGGTCTAGTCTGTGGCCCTGACGAGTAGGGCCCAAGGATGACGAAACTCCACTCAATCAATTAAAGTGCATGTGTGCCCACTGGGCTTGATCCTGACCCTCGCAGAAGAAATGAGACACAACAAGGACCGAGAGAGGGGGGATTTCACAAGTGTGTGTGTGTGTGTGGTTTTAAGGGTACCCCCCCCATGCCAGGCGGAACAAACACATCACGAGGATTCCCGTTTTTACACACGTACCCTTGGCACTTTTCCCGACTCAGCCGCTCGCCGGCGCAGTGAGGCGTGGCCGTGTCCGCCAAGCAGCCGCAGACGATGTCGGAGGCGGTTCGATGCAGCCAGCCCTGGGCCCCCAAAATGGATGTCGGTTTCCTTTTCCATTAAAATCGAGTGACAAGTTATCTCAGAGCGGATAGCCCCAAATGCTGCTCATGCTTGTGGATGGATCCGGAGCAAGTATTTTCACATCCAGTTTCAAAGAACGTCACGAATCCGTCAGGATCTCGTCGGGGATATTCTCCGTTTCTAGCAAACAGGCTGTGCCCCGCCAACCTGGGCATCCGAATCATTCGTCTCATTGGCTTCAGGAGACAAAGTGTCGGCTGCTGTGCACCTTTGCCGGGCACTTCGGCCTTCAGCTGGTTGACAAGGCGTTGGGGCTTGCCGCCTCCCTGTTTCTGATGCCTTTGGGGGAACTATCAATTGACACATCACACACACACACACAAGCGGGCTTTTCTCAACCAGTTTGATCTTTGTTTTGCTCAAACGGATATTTTGCGAAAATGTTAGTTTAGCAGAGAACGCGTGCAAACAGCTGCCTAAGGCGCCCTTGGTAGTTGTGAAGGGACCTAAAGGTGACATTTTGACCATGATCCGCCTTTTTGGAGGGTCGCCATTTCATGATGTTGCTGTCGCTCTCCTGAATTTTGCACACGGGTTTTGCAGTGCTTATGCCGCTCGCAGCTATCGCTACAGCCCCCAGGACCCCAACTGCCTCCCAAAAGTAGCCCCCTATAGTCCTATCGTTTCATAGGAATCACTGGAACTTTGTCTTTTTTAACCACCCTAAGGGTCCAGACGGTTTTTGGAGGGTCCAGGGGTGTGCAGTGGGTCACGACCCGGGCACCTGACGAGCCGACGAGCCGACGAGCCGACGAGCCGACGGCAGGCGGCGGCTTCTTGGGATGCCGACGTGCAGCGGGCGGTAGAGACCTTGCACCGGTGCTTCTGCGAGGCGGGGCCACGGCTACCAGCGCCCTCCCGGCTGTTGGGTGTCCCTTGGGCTTCCTTTCGCGGCAAAATTCCAAGGCTGTGTTTGGAGCCGGGCGTTGAAAGCCCTCTGAGTTCCTTCCATTCGAAAGACACTCAACCACCCAGAAACAGTTTTCCCATGTGCATGTGTGTGTGTGCGCGTGTTTTTAATAAATAGAAGAAAAACACACCCAACCCAATTGGTGGTTATAAGAAAACCCCACTGCTCGGAATGGTGGAACCTGACTTCGAGGAGTTGCAGCTGCCGCTGGGCCCGCTCCACCCGGAGGCCCTGCAGAGGCTCTTTGCCTGGCTGGGGGTGCTGAGGCCGGGAGAGCTGGCGCATGACGCGTTTTCGCGCTTGCCGGTTTGACAGGCAGGGAATGAGGGAATGACCGCAATACAACACTCCCATGTGATATGGCAATGGGGAATAATCCCACATGATATGGCCATGCATTTGCAACCTATTTTGACGGGCACCAGGGGTACAGGGTTTTGACCCACAGCCATAGATGTTCTCTAATGGTTTCCTCCAAGGGAATCTCTAGGTTCATTCCCAAAACCCTGGGTCATTCCCTACTGAGCTCCAGCCAGTTTTGATTTGTTTTGTTTGTTTGGTTGATGTTTGGCCCATAGCTGAGAGCACATGTGTGTTCCGAGCGTGTACCCATGTATCTGCGTGCTTTTGTTTGCCCGGTGTCACACATGCGTGTTTGGAGAGTACACAAAAGTGTGGTCCGAGCGCTTGCACTTCATATTTGTGTTTCATTCATTGTGCTCGTGTTTGCCAAGTGTGCAGGTGTGTGCTTATGCTTGTGCGCTTTTGTTTGCCCCGCATATTCACATTGTGCTCCGTGCGCACACATGTACTGTGAGCATGTGTTCCGACTGTACACATGTGTCTTCTGTGCGCGGTCTATACATATGTTGGTTAAGAGCCTGTGCACATGGCCACGATGTAAGGGCATATGTGCAGAAAGTATGTTCAAAGCTGAGACTGTGTCTTGTGCTCGCACAAGCGTCTTCCGAGCATATGTGCATGTGTCTTCGCATCGCTGCAGGCAACAATTGAGATATTCAGAGTGTTCCATAAGATTGTACGGCTGCAAATTGTTTTTGAATCTAAAGTCATAAGGAAAGCATTCTTCAACCCCCAGAATCCTGAACATGACGCTCATTTCCATTGATTCTGGATTTGTTGCTTCAAACATTCTTGCCCTTCTCAAAGAACCAAGGAACAACACATTCTTGCTTTCTGGTGTCCACGCTGGTAGAATCTGTTTATATAAAAGGCACATTCTTGCTATCTGGTGTCCACGCTGGTATAATCTGTTTGTTTCTTTTTCAGAGACAAGGCACATATTTGTCCAGACTTCCCAAGGGCTCGGGTTGAAGACCGGCGCCTACGGCCAGCCGTTCGTTAGGCGCAGCAGCGCCATGGTGCTGCAGCAGCTCCTGGAGCCGCGGCGGGACGCCTGCGCGGACGCCCAGAGGTTGGCTTATGGACTTGAGTTGAAATCCATTTTGCCCCGCTTGGGTATGGGTCAAAATTTACCCACCAATTGGACCGCAGGTTAAAGTCTATGTCACCACTTACCAGGGTGCAATTTTGGGTACCTATTTTTGACCCACAGCCACTTGGAAACCAGAACAAAAAACGCGGTTTGAATTGCTACTTCGGATGAGGAATCATTATTTTAGGGTTTCTCGGGTGGGGCGAAATGGGTCTCGTCCATCCACAGTATGATCAGATACTCCCTGATTATTGGCTTGGATTGGTTTGGATTTGGAGTTGAACCTGAACGGGCCCCTAGCTTTTGTAGAGGGTAGGGTAATTATGGGAAACCAGCCCGCAATCACCAAAGCACCAATTTGGGTAGGGTGACTGAGCCACATTCTGAAAACCCGGGTAGATGAAGGTGGAGGGAGAGTCATCTTGATCAACCCCCGTATGGGCTCATTTTTTTCTGTTTTGGTTAGACCCCCAAATTGGCGGATTCCTTTTGGGTTTCCGGCAACAAACCACCAAAAAGGGGGGGAACCTCAAAAAGGATACACCCTCACGGGTATGGGTGGAATGTGCGCACTTTGTAAGGTCCCCAGCAACCATTGCGGCAGTTTTGGGCATGGATTGGACGAACTTGGCACAGGGTTTTGACTTGGCTGAGATTTGCTTCGAGGTCCGATCTGCTTCGAGGACCTGAACACGTCACTTCGATGCTTTCACCTGGGATCAGCGGAGTGACTGCAAGGCAGCAGCCAGATGGAGCAAGATATCTGTCATGAATAGAATGGCACCTTGGTTCAGATCTAGGCAGGCATAAGATGGAGGTAAAAGTTGTAGATCTTACTAGCTTAGGAGAACCTATGGCAAGTGTTTCCATTTTCGCAGGAGCAGCCAGACGTGGAGCTGCTGGAACATTGGCAGTCCAAAGGCGACATTTCAGAGCACCGCATGTGCGGTGCGTGCCGCCGGGAATACGGGCAGAGCTCTAGTTGCAAGAGGATTTGCCATACGCATGGCAGACTCCGGTGCCGAGCAAAGCCAAGTCGATCTGAGGAGCCGGTGCCCCTTCTGCAAGGAGAACTTGCTGAAGGAGGCGCCTTCTTGTGGAGGTTCTGCCACAGACTTTGGTTTCTGTCAATACCGAGTTTCGGACGGCGTGTGCAGTTTTAGGCGCCCCATGGCCAGGACTTGATTGACTTCATCGAGTCCTTCGCTGCGACCTTGCCAGAGGCAGAGAGCATGGCGCGGAAAGCCGTGGCTTTCGCTCGTTGGGTCCAGCACTTTTTGGACCGATCTTCAACTGGGCGGGCCACCTGCAACTTCTCGGCTCTTTACACCACGGGCCACATGTTTTCCTTTTTGTTCCTCTCGCCCCCCGCTTTCCGGCGGCCGCTCTTGGTCTGTCTTTCCCCCCCCGGCCCGTCGAAGCGAAAGCTTCGGAGGAGGGCGGCCACGATGCCCTGGAGCTCTCCCTGGTGCTGGAGCAGTGGCAGTTCCACGAGATGGACTTTGAGGAGGGCGCCGGAACTCGCTCACCGCACGGGGGGGGGGGGGGGGGGGGGGAAAAAACACCATCCAAATCCGAGGCCATGGCGAGCACACGACCTCTGGGCGGGAACGACGTCCAAAAGCTGGCTGGCAGGTTTCAGGTTTCAAGCAAACCGCCGGCCAATGCACTTGGAGTGTTTGGGGCCAGTGCCGGCAAATGAGGGCTATCTGCTAAGTCCCCGAACTGGGGGAGTCTCTTTGGATGTTTGGATGCTGAAACCTACGGGCAACAAGCCACCAGGAGGAGCCGCGAGTCATGCGGCGCACTGCCCGCTGCATCATGGAGGCATGGAGTGCAAACGCAACCAATGACTTTTCAACATGTCCACAGGGTCGCTTCTTGTTTATGGGAAGTATGAGCGGCCGTTCTGTAAACAAATAGTGCCCCTAGGTTGTAGTTTTCCTTGGGGGGGGGTTGACCGACAGTTGGCCGGATCTTAAGCCATGGCTCCAAGGGGCATGGAGTCAGTCTGAAGTGCCTCAAAGATGGCTTCGGGAGACCACGAGACTCGAGAAACTGACCAAGCTCAAAAACAAGACTGAGTGTCTTGAACCTAGCTGCCTTCCAAATAGCACGTACTCAAATGGACATGCGTTGTTTTTTGTTTTGTTTGAGAGCCGCCAGCATCGCCTCCTGCGGCGCCGTCTGCCGCGGGTACTTCGGGAACGGCGGCGCTGGCTCTGGGACGCAGCAGGCCGGGGGCCCGTTGACTCTTCTTTCTTTGTTTTTTTTTGGGGGGGGGGAGGGCGCTCGATGACCTGCACAGAGCGGGGGAGATGTTGGGGAAACGAACACCTTTGCAACATGCAAGACTGCCGAGATGGGAAGATGTTGTGTGGGTCAAACATAGGTATATACAATGGAACCCTGGTAAATGGAAACAGACTAACACCTGCGGTCCAATTCCTGGTGGCTTAAATTCTGACCCATACCGGACACGGAAGGTCGTCAAGCTTTGCACTGCGACTTGGGCCTTTGAATTTTGTTTTTTGAATCGGCCTGAGGCCTCCTCTTCCGGCTCTATGGCTTTGACCAAGTTCGGCAGCTGGCGGGCGAGGCGACCAGGCAGCTGCTGCAGGCGCGGGGAAAAGGAGAGCGACTCGGGGGATCATACTGTGGACAAAATCCATTTCGCACCACCTAAGAAACCCTAGAAGTATGATTCCCCTGTTAATGCCTACAAACAATGGTTTACCATGGTTTCAAAGTGGTACAGGATTTCGTCCATCCACAGTAGGATGGGATCAACTCAATCAAAGCCATTCACAAGATCCAGATGCGGCCCTTGCGGCAAACGAAAAGGGGAGGTTCGCTCGGTGCTTGGGAAATGTCGCTGCCAGGATGCTGTGGAGCTGCTGCTGAACCCAGAGCCAGAGGCAGCTCGGGCCGGACGAGTATCGAGCATCTTCCGTGCGGAGAGATCGAGCGAGGATTCGACCCAAAAGTTTTGAGCCGATTTCTTCAGGGTGCGTCCTGCACACCTCGCAACCGGAAGTCTGGGTGTGGGACTTCGGAGTTCAGCGACATTTTCTGGCGACACTGCTTCTCATAGCCGGCTGTGAGTCCCCTGTTTTCCTCGACAAAGAGGAAGGCAGGTTGCCCTGGTAACCCGTAGTTGGTGGTCTGGATTGGTGGTTGGCGGATTTGAACCCCTGGTTCTTGTAGAGGGTAAAGGGAAGCCGAGGAAGCCGTCCCCATGAACCACACTCTCTGTGAGAACTTTCAAACGAGTGTTCAACACTTGCGAATGACCCTGCGCGTCAGGAAGTGGAGCTGCTGGGCCTAGTTTATGGGCAGGCAGGCACCCTCCATGTGGGGCAGCAATAGATGAAGGGCACGGGGTGACATGGCTCGCCTTCAAACATCTCACGCCACCCACAGATGCTGGATCTCATTTTTTGAGTCTGAAAGGTCTTCTTTGAAGCTTCCAAAAGACGGTCCCAAATTCAAGAGACCACCCAAATCAGCCCAGTGCGCCCTTGTTCTTTTTAGGGTCGCCCCCCATTCAAACGCACTCAACAGACGGGTTGCAAGCGCCCCCTACTGTTCGAAGGGGCGCTCTGCTGCCTGCGTGATGACGTAGGTACTGCCTCACCAGCAACCCAGTCCACTACGTTGCTGTGAAGGGCGCCCTCCAAGCTAATACTGCCTCATCCTCCGGTGGTTTGCCTGAGCAAGCTGGCAGGATCTATGTTCATGTTTGGTTTCCTCACAGACCAAATGGCCATGGGTCAAAATCCCGTATGAACAGTGAACATCCCCACTAAAATAGACTAAAATGGGTGGTGCACCTACCCCAAAATGGTACCATTGGTTTTGACCCACAGCCAAATATTCGTTCGAACTCTTTATGTTCAGGACGCCCAAAGGTCGCCGGGGAAGCCGCGCGCCGCCGACAGGCGCTGCTGGCCTGGCTCTTGTCCAGCGGGCCGGAGGCGGAGGTGCTGGCGGCTGTGACCCGGCGCTGCGGCTGGAGCGCGCCTCGGGCGAAAGGACTCGGCTTGGGGCTGTTGACTGCTATTGGGTTGGATCTTTAGACTTTAACTTTTTGGGAAACCAAGGGGTTTTCCACCAAAGCCCCAAAAAGTCAAGCTTTTTGCAGGGGGGTCAACAGCAACCAAGGGTTGGCTTTTGGAAGGTTCCCAAACTCCATGGGGGGGTTGGAAGGCATGAGACACTGGGAACCTTCAGCTTGTGGGACATCAGTAGATCAGCTGCAAGCTATTTCAAGGGTGCAAGAAGCTTATAAGTAGGACATCTTCCAACCAATGCAATGAGTCTGGGATTTGGGGTCTGGTTTGCTAGCAGATTGGGGTGCCAGCCCTTGCGGGGCACCTGGAGGCGTTCAGTTCGGGTCGACGTGTGGCTGGTGACTGTTTCGAAGTTGGTACGGGTGGCTGTTGGGCTTTCCGACTCAGCTGCAATGAGTCAAGTCACCCTCAACGGCTTGTGACTGGCAGGGTTGACAAGTATACGTATCCCTTGGCCCGTGCGGGGGGGGGGGGGGGGAATTCTTTCGGTCATGTTCTGGCTGTGGCTGGGTTGCCACAAGCTTATGCGTCGAGCGCTTGAAGATGGATGGGCTCGAGCGGTTAATTTTTCATCAGTAGGGGATGACATCGGACACACTCGTCAAACCCCAAGGAAATGGGGTGCACCGAAATCCCATCGCAGTTGGGTTTGTTTGTTTTTCTTAAGCAAGATCCAAGAGTATCGGTTGGGGTCTTTTATTTTTTCTTCAGGTGGTGTTGCACGCCAAAGATCGCCGCGTGCTGGAGCAGCTGCTAGGTGCGGGGATCCGGGAATGGACTCGAAATGATGGCTCTCGGATTTGTTTCCTTTTGAAAGTCATCCCCTAAGAGGGACATGAGCGTCAAGCGGTTCGCTGGGTTCAATGATTCAAGTTGTAGGTGCGGTAGACATTCTATATGCAGTCGGCTCTTGAGCTGCGCGCCTGAGTTGTCCATCCGTTGTCGTGGTGCAGCTGCGTATCACGCTGGCTCCACCGTTTCCACTAGCGAACTCAATGTCCCTTCAGGGATCAAAGGGGGATCTGACATTGACCTGACCTGGAACAGGGAACAGGAAGCCACGGCTTTGAAGGGAGGGGAAATCCAACAAATCACGTTGAGGGCCATTTTGGTTCGGCAAAGGCCTCAAATCCGGCCAGGCGCCACGCGGCGGGAGTACTTCGCCCTGTCTCACCGTGGCATTTGGGGCTCCAGGCGACAAGATATCGTTTGGAGCCTCCTAGAAGGAAGTGGCATTTGAGGCGAGGCGAAAGACTCGGAAGAGCTGGCCCTGGTGGTGTTCCGGCAGACAGCAGGGCCATCCACAGTGGACTGAACTGAACGATGCTTGGCTACTGTAGTTCATCAAAACTCAAGGCACTCGGTTGGAGGGGGAACTTCGAGGCTTGGCTTTTCACCGCTGCCATTTGATGTCAAGTTGCTTTCTGAATGTGCTTGCCCTTTCGGATGGTTTTGCAGAGCATGTGCCACCATCCATTTGCATGGGAGGGCCCCTGGTCGCGAAACATTCCTATTCAAGACATGATGTCACATATGCACTTGTCCCATTGACAACCTGTCCAGGGCAATGTCAACTTTGAATTGGTCTGGAGGAGCGTGCTAATCAAGGGGCATCCCGCTTTGGTGGAGACGCTACTCATGTTGGGGGATTCCTCTGATTAGTATGAATTGCCTGGATGAATGTGATGACCACATTGTCAGTTTAATAGTAATCAGTCATATTCGTCCTATGGGTTCTGACCGGGGTATCGGTTCAGAAGGGTTGGCCGCTGCCGCCTGGTGAGGATTGGGACATTCATCTCAGGCTGGAGCAGCTACTCCTGATTGCCTGTTTCCTCTTCTTGTCTCATGTGTGGCTGTGGTTGTGGTCCTGGACCTGATATGCACAAGATATATATATATATAATATAATATAATATAATATAATATAATATAATATAATATAGTATAAGGACCATCCCAAAGCCGCGGCCGACGCCGACCATGCGCCCGGCCTTCCTGCCATGCCTTGCCCGTGCCCGCCATGCGGCTGCGGCTGGCCGGGGCATGGCCACAGCCATCTCCTCGAGCTCGGGCATCCTGGCGACTTCGCTGGGCTTGGCCAAGTGCGACACCCTGCAAGTCAGGACGCGCCGAGCGCCTGGCTTTTGCGGAGTCCGGCCTTGTAAAAGAAAACAAATGGACAACTTATTTGGATGGGGTCCATTTGCGGCGAGCCCTTGGCAGCAACGTGGGGCTGGACAGTTAGCGCCCTTTTATGACGGATTGCCAGCCGTCCGTTGGCTTGTCCACATGTTGGGCCTCTCAAACATCTCCTCGCTGATTGCAACGGCCTTGGAAGTTCTCTGCGCTTGCAGCACGGGCGCAATCCTTTCTTGCTTTTCTCGTGGGGGCTGCTCGACAGCAGTTGTAATCTTGAACAGAGTGTGTGGACCACACGGTGCCTGCTCCATGTGGGCAAACATCTGCGCCATGGCCGATGTCCGCCGTAGGGCAATGGTTCCTTGACAAGCGTCGAGCGGGTTCTGGTAAAAAAAGAAACAGATAACAGAGATGCTGTTAGCAAATCGTTTTGATGCTCCGGCAGATTGCTCCGCACAACTCATGGTGCCGTCTCGGGCGAGGAGCGCCATCCGGCCGGGGCGGAGCCCCAAAGTTGGCAGCGCAGAGGAGGTCTTGGAGCCCTTCCTCGAGTCTGACAGCATGGCTCCTTGGCTACATATGGAACCATATGTATACATATATATATATACATATATAGGTGTGTGTGCGTGCGTGTTTGAGTGCTTTGTATTTTTTTTTTCGGGGGTTGGTTTCAAGGGACACCAAAAGGAAAGCCACCTTTTTTGGGAGCCCCCCGATTCTGCGACCTACCCATTTGTTTCCAGCAGGATCGCAAAACCTTGGTGCTAAATTGAAAAGGTTTTGCAATGGTGCCTGTGAGTCTGTCTTCTTTGCGGATACGTTTTGTCGTGGTTTTAAAGGGACAGTCAATTCATATGACTCACGATCCAATCCATGGGCAAGTTGATGGATGGCTCATGCCCATGTTGCTAATGTGGAGGCTCCTCCTTTCTCTGCGGCTTTTTGCTGAAGCACCACTCACATGGTTTCATGGAAACCATCATACTATGCGGGGTGCTCGTGTGCTGCGAGCTACAGCCTGCAATGGACAACATGGAGCAGTGGTTCAATGCATTCGTTCTCAGTGGCACCGCGCTATCAACTGTCCGTTGGTTCAATGCAGAGGTGATTTTTTTCATCAGGGGATCAGAGCAGGTGAAAGGACAATGGCAGGACCTAGCATCAGTGATTAGGCATTTGGTTGGTTGGTTGGTTGGTTGGTTGGTTGGTTGGTTGGTTGGTTGGTTGGTTGGTTGGTTGGTTGGTTGGTTGGTTTGTTGGTTTTGGTTGGTTGGCGGAGTTTCTGCGTTGGTACCTGCTTGGATCTTGCTTTCAGTGGAATAGGTGAGGTTTTCGGGCTCGCTCCAGAATTCGCAGCGGATTCGGTGACTTATGAACAGCACCGGAGTGAATTTTGGGTACCCGCAAAGTTTTCACAAACTCGTCAGAGGCGGAGTTTTTTTGGGCCGCGCTTGGAGCTTTGCGCCAGTCTTTGCAAATGAGAGGTCTTCATCCACGGCGGGTCCGCCACACCGCAGCCCCTGATCCAGGGCATGATCAACGTTGCCAAGGCCAAGAGGCCGGAACGGCGCCGCGCCGTGGAACCTTTGGCGCGATGTGTCAAGGGAAGGGCTCTGCAAAATGAGGGGGGCCGATAAAAGCCAACCCCCAATGGGTACCCTCAACAAAGCACGCCCGCAACTTAGACACAAAGGGTTGGCATGCTGAGATTGTTCCATGATCCGATTGGACCAGGCAGTAGAATTCCAATCGACCAATGCGTTGCCGTGTTTGCTTGGTGTAGGGCTATTTGCCGATCATTTTGATAGTCGGCAAGCACAGCTTTTGGTCGTCAGCCAATCCACTCAAGAGGCGAGTGGTGGACATTTTTGCTGATAGGGGAACCTGTGAGCATGCGTCAGAGTCAGGGTCGCCGTGCCTAAGTGCCTAAGTGCCAGGCTGTCAAAAATTGGCCCTGTTAAAAACTCGGCACTTGAGGACACGGGGGTGTCTTTTAACCCCTCTTGGTTTTTTTTTTTTAAGAGGAAACCCACTGAACCGCCATTTTGGGGTTCTGGCCATTTGAGGGCATGCCAAAGAGGCTGCGGAACCTGCGGACCATCCACATCCACCTGGAGGGGCCCGGGCCCACGCCAGCGGAGGACCCTGAAGCTGCGGAGCACATCACTCCCATCTGCACCTTCGTGGGTCCCAACCTCCGCGATGCCGTGCAGAGGTGCGCTTGGCAAAGTTGTGGGCGACTGAGTCGTCCAGGAGGAAAGCGACAAACAAGCCGGACCCAGTTGGATAACTCATGAGCTACTGACAACGGCACAGAGCATTTGGCAATGATTTGAGACTTTTTGTGGAGATGGATTGAAGCCCGTGGTATCAGCTGGGGCAAGTTTGCATTGGCCTGGAATGGCTGAAGCGAGATGAAGCCTTCAACACGCACACACACACACACACAAGCCTCCGGTCTCAAAGAAGGGGGCGCCTCGCCACTGTCTAATCATGTTGGACACAGTTTTCCGCTGGTCCCGGTTGCTCGCTTTTCTAAAAGGTTGGATGAATGTGACGAAAGGGACCCAAGTTAGCACACCCCCCAATCCCCGCGCACCCAAGAGGCTTCTGCAGAACATCATCACATACCTTGTGGTTTGCTTTAAGAGACAATCCCCAAGATTCAACATGATTCTTTTGAGCCACCTCTGTTTGTTTCCCTTTCGTTCTCCTGCTGTGGATTTCGGTTTCCCAGAAATGCCCACAAGTCGTCTGAAAGGGTGTCCCCCATTTTCGAAAGCACGAAGCCGTTGCCCTAGGGGAAGCCAGCCCCAACAGGGCCTAGGCAACCCCCATTTTGGGGAAATACCGTTGGAACCCTGCGCCCCACAAGCAAAAAGGCCAACCATAGTGGACCGATCCACCAAAGCATCCTGGTTTTGAGCAACCCTCCTTGTTTCGGATGGCAAGAACCCCCCCCCCTTCACCCAAACCATGTTTGATATGGACACCCCCGGGGGTGGCAAGCAGCCCTCTCAGGGGGGATGCGCACTTCATGCCGATTCACCTTCGTGACCTCCCGTTGCTCTTTCGCAAGCAGCTGGTGCGCCCGGATCTTGCACTGCTGCAGTGCTCCGTTCCTGACGCGCATGGCCGCTCCGCCCCAAACGCCGGGGGGGGGGGGGGGGCCGATGGGGAGCCTGTGTCGGGGTTGGTGCCGCGGGTTTCTTCCCTGAATGCATAGCAAAAGAGCTCGCGCAGCGAATGATCTCTGCCATTTCAAGGGCTTCTCCTTGTCCATCTTTTGAAAGAACCAGACGGCTTTTGGGCAATCACTTCGCAGGTTTCGGTTTGGCGAACTTGCAGGCGCAAAACCTACCAATCTATGCGGATGGGTTTCCAAAACGGTGAATCCCTGTTTCGAGAACCCCCGCTGGGGACCCGGCTGGACCAGGCTTCTGTACCTTGGGCACCTCGGTCGACTGGGCACGCAGCGCGGCGGAGCACGCCAAGAAGCTGGTGGCCCTCATCAACCCGCGCCGCGGCGCAGAAAGGCAGACGGCGGACGGACCATGCAGATCCTATATTTCTGTCTGTCTGTCTGTCTGTCTGTCTGTCTGTCTGTCTGTCTGTCTGTCTGTCTGTCTGTCTGTCTGTCTGTCTGTCTTTCTGTCTGTCTGTCTCTGTCTGTCTGTCTCTGTCTGTGTGTTTGTGTGTCTGTGTGTCTGTGTGTCTGTCTGTCTGTCTGTCTGTCTGTCTGTCTGTCTGTCTGTCTGTCTGTCTGTCTGTCTGTCTGTCTGTCTGTCTGTCTGTCTGTCTGTCTGTCTGTCTGTCTGTCTGTCTGTCTGTCTGTCTGTCTGTCTGTCTGTCTGTCTGTCTGTCTGTCTGTCTGTCTGTCTGTCTGTCTGTCTGTCTGTCTGTCTGTCTGTCTGTCTGTCTGTCTGTCTGTCTGTCTGTCTGTCTGTCTGTCTGTCTGTCTGTCTGTCTGTCTGTCTGTCTGTCTGTCTGTCTGTCTGTCTGTCTGTCTGTCTGTCTGTCTGTCTGTCTGTCTGTCTGTCTGTCTGTCTGTCTGTCTGTCTGTCTGTCTGTCTGTCTGTCTGTCTGTCTGTCTGTCTGTCTGTCTGTCTGTCTGTCTGTCTGTCTGTCTGTCTGTCTGTCTGTCTGTCTGTCTGTCTGTCTGTCTGTCTGTCTGTCTGTCTGTCTGTCTGTCTGTCTGTCTGTCTGTCTGTCTGTCTGTCTGTCTGTCTGTCTGTCTTTTTCTGTCTTTTTCTGTCTTTTTCTGTCTGTCTTTTCTGTCTTTTGTCTGTCTGTCTGTGTCTGTCTGTGTCTGTCTGTGTCTGTCTGTGTCTGTCTGTGTCTGTCTGTGTCTGTCTGTGTCTGTCTGTGTCTGTCTGTGTCTGTCTGTGTCTGTCTGTGTCTGTCTGTGTCTGTCTGTGTCTGTCTGTGTCTGTCTGTGTCTGTCTGTGTCTGTCTGTGTCTGTCTGTGTCTGTCTGTGTCTGTCTGTGTCTGTCTGTGTCTGTCTGTCTGTGTCTGTCTGTGTCTGTGTCTGTCTGTCTGTCTGTGTCTGTCTGTGTCTGTGTCTGTCTGTGTCTGTCTGTGTCTGTCTGTGTCTGTCTGTGTCTGTCTGTGTCTGTCTGTGTCTGTCTGTGTCTGTCTGTGTCTGTCTGTGTCTGTCTGTGTCTGTCTGTGTCTGTCTGTGTCTGTCTGTCTGTCTGTGTCTGTCTGTGTCTGTCTGTGTCTGTCTGTGTCTGTCTGTGTCTGTCTGTGTCTGTCTGTGTCTGTCTGTGTCTGTCTGTGTCTGTCTGTGTCTGTCTGTGTCTGTCTGTGTCTGTCTGTGTCTGTCTGTGTCTGTCTGTGTCTGTCTGTGTCTGTCTGTGTCTGTCTGTGTCTGTCTGTGTCTGTCTGTGTCTGTCTGTGTCTGTCTGTGTCTGTCTGTGTCTGTCTGTGTCTGCCTGTGTCTGTCTGTGTTTGTCTGTGTCTGTCTGTGTCTGTCTGTGTCTGTCTGTGTCTGTGTGTCTGTGTGTGTGTGTTTGTTTGTTTGCTTGCTTGTTTGTTTCTTTTCTTTCTTTCTGTCTTTCTTTCTTTCTTCGCATCTTTGTTTCTTTGTATCTCTTCGTTTGTTTGCATTTCTTTGTTTGTTTGTTTGTTTGTTTAGGTAATTGGACTGATTGGATGGACGTGACATGATTGGACTTGATGTAGTTTGGTTTGGCTTGGCTTGAATTGATTATTGGATTGGATTGGTTTGGAATGGAATGGATTTAGTTGGTTGAATTGACTGGATTAGATAGAATGGGTTCACTGACTTTTTGGGTTCATTGATCCATTGATCCATTGATTCCATGCTTGCTTGCTTACTTACTTGCTTGCTGGCTTGCTTGTTTGCTTGCTTGCTTGCTGGATTGGTTTGGATTGCATTGCATTGGATTGGATTGGATTTTCATTTGAGGGGAATGGACTGGTATTGTTATGATTTGGTTTGGTTTCAATGATTTTCTTGCTTATTTTTTGCTTGTTTGTTCGTTTGTTTGTTTGTTTGCTTGCTTGCTTGCTTGTTTGTTTGTTTGTTTGTTTGTTTGTTTGTGTGTGTGTGGGTTTGTTTGTGTTTGTTTCTCCGTTTGTTCTTTTGGTTTCCGTCTGCCTTCCTTTTGTTCTTTCTTTCTTTCTTTCTTTCTTTCTTTCTTTCTTTCTTTCTTTCTTTCTTTCTTAAGTTCCTTCCTTAAATTGTGTGTTTGTGTATGTCCGCCAATCCCGTGGTAGTCATATACCATGGCGTTGCTTTGGGCACAGGCAGAAGTCGCATGCAAGTCGCTCACGTCGATTGCAAGCTCTCAGCTCTCAGGCAGATGCCACGAGTGCACGGAGATGGCATCATCCACTTCTCGCAGTTTGATGGAGTGCCATGACGGCACAGACATGGTTGCTGTTGGGAAACATTTTACATTTTTGCTTGTAGTGGTTTAGTGGGAAATCCCCACTTAACTGTGCTCCCCTTCCAACGTCAACCAAGCAGAGCTACGACACCCCTTCTCATCGTTTCCCATAGCCTGGAATATGACTGTGGTTGTCAAAACCGATCCCATTTTGGTTGGTAGGTGAATTCACCACCCATTTTAGAACCAATTTTAGTGAGGATTGGGATGTTCACTGGGGGCACGGTATTTGGACACATGGCCATATGAGAGCTACCCTGCAGAGGTGCTTGCTAGAAGACGATTTCCATGGTGTCCCTTTGGCTTCCCCAGCCGCCATTTGGGCGCCCCCATTGGGTGTCCACCCCGCTCAGTTTCACGAAAGGTGGTCCTTTCCATTGAGGACTTCCTTACTGCTTGCGAGGGTACAAACCCTTGATTTTTCCCACCACAGTTTCGCACACTCTTTAGTTGAATAACATAGAATTGCTGTTTAGTGAAAAGTCGTGCGATTTAGTGACAATTAAGTAGCCATCAAGAACCTTCACTAACTGTCACAAATGTTAACTACAATTCACAAAGGCTTCACTAAAAAGTGACATTTAGTGCAATTTAGCGCAGTTTGGTGCAATGCAGTGACAATTAGTGAAAGTTAGTGAACATCAGAGAATCAATAGTGGACTTTAGCAAAAAATAGAAGTGGCCACAAACAACGTTCACCGATTTTCATGGCTGTTTGCTCACTATGTATTAATGGAACAAAGTGACTTTAGTGAAGAGCAAGTGCACCTCAAATACTTTTTCAAATCATCCGCAATACAACTTGTTGAGAACTAACGAAACTTTGTGAACTCTAGGAACGATAAGCCATGGCCGACTCACTAACGTTCACTTTGAAATTAAGCAACAGTGACATGTACTGTATGCAAGGGGCACTTAGTAGCATTTAGTGACAATCACGTAGCACCAATAACTTCACTGAACAGTGAGTGACAATTAGTGACAGTTAATGACTTTTGAGACACATTATCAAACACTTAGAAGCGGCCACCAATAGCTTTATCTAGCTTTCATCATGTTCAGAAAGTTGCACTAGTTGTCACTAAATATCACCAGCTGGTTTTGTGAACAATTGGTGACAGTTAGTGACTATTAGTGATGTCTTGTTTTAAAAGTGAACTGGTTGGTGTTGGGACTGACACTTGAAAATTGCACGGTGCTTCGAGCGACAACACAGCAAGACATGAGCAATGCGAACATGTGAAAACCATGAAAGTTTGAGGGAAGGTCTACCAGCTCGAGAATTCGGAAACCACCGAACATTCGCTCAGCAAGCGAGACGTGTCGCGCCAAACGGTAGGCAGTATGAAAGAGATTCAGCAAATAAAGGAGAAACGTGGTTGGGGTCGGGGATGTCGGGGATGCAGCGTGAAATGAGAAGTTTCATTCAATGACCACACTATTCTTCTGGGATGGATCCAAAATGCTGACAGGACCTCTTAAGATTACGAGTGGATTTCAAGGATATGAAGAGGGGAAGTGATTGGGGTCGGGGTTGGGGTTGAAACTAAAGATTGGCAAAGTTCATCCAACGACAACACAGCAAAAGCTGTAAATGTTAAAACCTTGCAAGTCATTCAATTTTGAATTGCAAGAATTCGGAAACCACCTAACATTGCGTAGGAGACTGAAACTTAAAACGAGGCCTGCAAACTCAAAATAGGCACCACGCCTACACCAAAAAAGCAGCGAGAGTTTTCCCTTTCCCCCCCCCAACACCAGCACGTACTGGAGGCACACGGGCCGATGCCTCAAAAATTGGTGCAACCAAATGGTTACCTAAATGGTGCTGGCAAATGCGTGACTTGACTGATCTCGCAGAGTGTTACTTTTGAGGTTTCGTGCCCATTTAGGTTAAATTTGGTGGACCCAAAATGGGTGGCTTTCCTTTGCTCCCTTTCAATACCAAAAGGGTAGCCCCAAACAAAGACACCCCCCCCATTTCAAGGTTTTTGGGTCTCGAAAGTGATTTGAGGTAGTTTCCAGATATCTCGCAGTCGTGGATGTTTCCTGTAGATTGCATGATGACTTGCAAGGTTTCAACATTACCAGGTATTGCCATGTTGTCGTTGGATGAACCTGCCATGTTTAGTTTCAACCCCACCCCCAATCACTTCCGGTATTGATGTGCTTGAATTCCACTTGAAACTTTAATAGGTCCTGTAAGTATTTTGGCTCGTTGCTGGGGCAAACCCTTCCAACTTTTCATTTTTCGGTTTCCTGCCCTAGTTGAGCTTTCTGGGTGTATTTTCGGTTCGCGAATTCTACAGCTGGACTCAACGCAAATCTAGCTGTAGAATTTGGCCTGCTTTGCACTTCCTGCGAAAGACCTCCCATTTTGTCGAACGCTAAAGGGTTCTAGATTCCCCAGCTGCGGTCCCCTTTCCTGTGGCCGAGCTTCTGCAGAGATGTACTTCGCGGCTTGTGCTGCTACCTTTCGTGTCTCCCTCTTGACTTCTTTTGGGCCCAGCGTCAATCAAGCTCAGAGTCTCTGCGGTTTCCATTGAATCCGGCTGACCGTTCTTAGAGGTCCCCCAAAACGGATCCCTCGTTAGACAGGGGATGGCTCCTACTTGCTCTGGAGCGGTCATTACCACTTCTCAAGGGGAGTGACTGGTGACCTTCTCAGGGACCTAAAGGGGGGGGGGGCAAGGGGATGAGCGCACTTTTTCACGTGCTGACTTTGGACTTTAACTTTTTGGAAAATCAAAAGGTTTTCCATTAAACCCACAAAAAGTTAAACTTTTTGCAGAGGGGTCAACAGCATCCAAGCAACAAAGCATGTTCTGTGAAAGCTGCGACTGAGGTTGTCCACCATGACGCCCCGCTGTTGACCTACAAGGCCAAGGAATTGCTTCCGGAAGAGGTAGAGATGCTTGGCATGCGTTGGGCGTGGTTGGCATCCTGGCTCGGCTCATTTAGAATAACACCTGGCTAAATCAAAGTCTCTTGGATCACAGGTTCTGACAACTTTCAATGACCCACTTTAACACAACTCTCGGAGAAAGCTCGGATGCTTTGTTTGTTCTGCTTTCTTTCCAGGCCCAGCTAAGCCGTGAACTGCAGATGTAGCCGAAACTCGCAATCGATGTTGCTGTAGCCAGGCAGGCCAGGTGGTGTTTCTCGAAAAGGAACCCGAACCATTTGAGACAGGCCGGGCTTTGGCTGCTTAGTGACTGAGCGTCCCCCATGGATGGGGACCCTCGTGCGAAAGCCATTTTGACAAGTGACTGCGGCAAGTAAAATGGACACGAGGGCCTGGGAAACAGAACCAGCCAGCCATCTCTGGATTTATCGAAGCGGTTCCCCCGCAATGGAATGAGCCTGCCAAGCACAATGACAGGTTTCAAATTCTTCGGAGGCCCTGTAAACAATCACCAACTCCTCCCGCCTGTCGATGGAGAACAGGGACACTTTCGTCAGAAAGGGCTGGCCACGGTCCAATAACTCGCTCCCAAGGAGCCATGCAACTAACATGTTCGGTAAAGAGTACAGCAGGAAACAAAAGAGGAAACTCGGGGGCCCGTGTCAACGGCTCGTATCCTTCGTGCTGTTTCCCCACTTTCACAGGGGTCATTATTTTGACGGTTTCTGGGGGTTATCAAAGTCAGAAGTGAACCCACTCAGGGGGTGACTTTGATGCTAAAATCACAGTTTCACCTTCCGGGGGGGTGCCACGGACCCCTGTTCTGAGTGACGTTCCCCCCCCCCCAAAACCGCCGTCGGTGAGGATCGGGAAGCACATCGCCTCCCTGGTGCCGGACGGCGCCACGCTGCAGATGGGCATCGGCTCTGTGCCCGATGCCGCGCTGGCGCAGCTGGGCGGCCACCGGAACCTCGGGATCCACACGGAGCGGAAAAACCGCAGTGCGGTCCCTTTTCTCGTCTTGTGCTTTTGTTTGCTTGTTTTGTTTGTCTGTTTGGATGGTTTGGTTGCTTGTTTGGTTTGTTTGCTCGTTTGGTTTGTTTGCTTGCCGGTCTGTTTGCTTTTTTGGTTTGTGTGTTTGCTTGTTTGGTTTGTTTACCTGTTTGTTTGCTGGGTTTGGTTTGTTTGCTTATTTAGTTATTTTGCCGGCCTGTTTGTTTGGTTAGTTCGTTTGTTTGCTTGTTTGGTTTGTTTGCTTGCTTGGTTTGTTTGCTTGTTTGGTTTGTCTGTTTGCCTGTTTGCTTGTTTGGTTTGTTTGCTAGTTTGATTTGTTCGCTTGCCGGTTTGTTTGCTTGTTTGGTTTGCGTGTTTTCTTGTTTGCTTCCTCGCTCGCTGCTTGGTTTGATTTGTTGATTTGCTCGCTTGTTTGTTTGCTTACTTGCTTGGCTGGTTGGTTTTGCCTGCCTGCCTGCCTGCCTGCCTGCCTGCCTGCCTGCCTGCCTGCCTGCCTGCCTGCCTGCCTGCCTGCCTGCTTGCTTGCTTGCTTGCTTGCTTGCTTGCTTGCTTGCTTGCTTGCGTGCTTGCTTGTTTGCTGGCGTGTGAAGCCCTTTCCCACTTGAGTGTTGATGAGACTCCTGTTGCGAGGCATCCTCTATTGCATGAGTTACAGTTTATGCGCAGGAAGGCATGGTTCCGACGACTTCCGGAGCCTACACCCTTCGCACCAGTTTCCCAAAGGGCCCCTTGCTTTTGGCCGCGCAACAAAGTGCTGATTTCGCGCCATTGCAGGTCATAACTCACCCCCAATAGTCACGAATAGTTAATCTTCGCTGGAGTGGCTATCCTTGGCTCTGAATTGCATGAAATGAGCAAACCTCGGTCGCGCGAGGAGATGTTTTCGGATGGGGTGTTGCCCCTGATGGAGTCCGGGGTCATAAACAACTCCAAGAAGGCGTCCTATCGGGGTGTCACCATCAGCTCCTTCGTGATGGGCAGCCAAAAGCTCTTTGACTTTGTGGAGGACAATGCGCCTGGGAGTTATCAATTCTCAGTCCCCTTTCCCAACCTTAGGAGTGCTTAGGGACTAAACTTGAGCGGGCCATTTTTCTTTGGGATTGTGCTCACTCTGGCTTTCTGGCGCGGCGCCGCGCTTCCGAGGAATTCGGATTGCAAATCCTTCACAAGAAGGCTGTTCCTGTTTTTCAGACCCCGCGCCACCTTCAAGTTCCAGTCCTCGAAATGGAGCGCGCACCATCTCTCTCGAGAAAAAGCACTAGGAAACCGCAAAAATACCAAAGAGGAGCAACTCTAGAAGCCCTTGTGTGGTATATATATATATATATATATATGGTCCCCCCCCAAATGTGGACCTTTTTCTGTCTTCATTTGTTCTGCCCACCACATGTGACTCTGATAAGGAAAAGACTCTCCAACTCAATCATTAACCCCCAGGGCCCAAAACCGTTCAATCCGTTTTAACCCTGTCTCACTGGAATGGCCTGGGCCCAAAACCGTTTAAACCGTTTAAACCGTCTAAACCGTTTTGAACCGTTTGAACCGTTTGAACCGTTTGAACCGTTTGAACCGTTTGAACCGTTTGAACCCTCTCTCAGTTAGAACCTTGGAGGGGGGCTTTCCTGTGAGAAAGGGGTTAAGGGGGGGACTTTCGTTTAAGAAAGGTTGTAAAAGGTGTTTGACCTTGGGAGGCGGGGGGGGGGGTCTTTCCTCTGAGAAAAATATTTAAACGATTTGAACGGTTCAATCGGTTTGGGCAACACCTGACCCTTGGAGGGGATCTTTCCTCTGAGAAAGGGTTTAAACGGTTTAAAGGGTTTAAACGGTTCCCTCTTTTTTTTTTGCATTTTCTGGCCAAACCTCAGCTTAGAAATAGGACAGAGCTACATCCAAGCCAGAAATTTCATTCGGGCCGGAAGCTTCCAGATTGTCTTTGGAAATGAGCCATTTTTCCGGCTGCTTTCCCACACCGCAAATACCAGTGAATCCAGGAAATGTAGTTTAAATAGGATCGGCTTTTCAATTGGACTGTTTGTCCAGTGAATCCAGGAAATGTAGTTTAAATAGGATCGGCTTTTCAATTGGACTGTTTGTGTCAACTTGGATTCGTCTTTTTAATTAGTAAGGAAATCATCCTATTGGATTTCTGGTCTAAAGATAGTCTGTTTCTTTTCAAAGAGTATCAGTATTTACACGTCTAACTTATTTGACATTAAACTTAGAACCATTTTCCATGTTTGTCGATCAAACATTAAACGGAATTTAATAAGGGCATAAGTCTGGAAGAGTTTCTAGTTTTAACGATCATTTAGATATCCGTGTTGTAAAAGAAGGTCTTTAATTGGCATCATTCTTTCAATTTAGATTACTTTAGAGCCTCCGGCTCAGTCCGCCGACATTGTCCTCTCCCTTTTCTCCTTCTTCCTCTCTTCCTTGTCTCCCTTGTGTGTTTTGTCGTCCTCTCTCCCTCCCTCTGCTCCCATCCTCCCCATCCCCCCAAGCCTCTCTCTCCCCAATCTCCCTCTCTCGTATGTATGCATGCATGTACATAAGTATGTATGCATGTATGTATGTATGTATGTATGTATGTATGTATGTATGTATGTATGTATGTATGTATGTATGTATGTATGTATGTATGTATGTATGTATGTATGTATGTATGTATGTATGTATGTATGTATGTATGTATGTATGTAATGTATGTATGTATGTATGTATGTATGTATGTATGTATGTATGTATGTATGTATGTATGTATGTATGTATGTATGTATGTATGTATGTATGTATGTATGTATGTATGTATGTATGTATGTATGTATGTATGTATGTATGTATGTATGTATGTATGTATGTATGTATGTATGTATGTATGTATGTATGTATGTATGTATGTATGTATGTATGTATGTATGTATGTATGTATGTATGTATGTATGTATGTATGTATGTATGTATGTATGTATGTATGTATGTATGTATGTATGTATGTATGTATGTATGTATGTATGTATGTATGTATGTATGTAATGTAAGCAAGTAAGTAAGTAAGTACGTAATGTAATGTAATGTAATGTAATGTAATGTAATGTAATGTAATGTAATGTAATGTAATGTATGTAATGTAATGTAATGTAATGTAATGTAATGTAATGTAATGTATGTAATGTAATGTAATGTAATGTATGTATGTATGTATGTATGTATGTATGTATGTATGTATGTATGTATGTATGTATGTATGTATGTATGTATGTATGTATGTATGTATGTATGTATGTATGTATGTATGTATGTATGTATGTAATGTATGTATGTATGTATGTATGTATGTAATGTATGTATGTATGTATGTATGTATGTATGTATGTATGTATGTATGTATGTATGTATGTATGTAATGTATGTATGTATGTAATGTATGTATGTATGTATGTATGTATGTATGTATGTATGTATGTATGTATGTATGTATGTATGTAATGTATGTATGTATGTAATGTAATGTGATGTGATGTGATGTATGTATGTATGTATGTATATGTATGTATGTATGTATGTATGTATGTATGTATGTATGTATGTATGTATGTAATGTATGTATGTATGTATGTATGTATGTATGTATGTATGTATGTATGTATGTATGTATGTATGTATGTATGTATGTATGTATGTATGTATGTAATGTATGTATGTAATGTAATGTAATGTAATGTATGTATGTATGTATGTATGTATGTATGTGTATGTAATGTAATGTAATGTAATGTAATGTAATGTAATGTAATGTAATGTAATGTAATGTAATGTAATGTAATGTAATGTAATGTAATGTAATGTATGTATGTATGTATGTATGTATGTATGTATGTATGTATGTATGTATGTATGTATGTATGTATGTAATGTATATGTATGTATGTATGTATGTATGTATGTATGTATGTATGTATGTAATGTATGTATGTATGTATGTAATGTATGTATGTATGTATGTATGTAATGTAATGTATGTATGTATGTATGTATGTATGTATGTATGTATGTATGTATGTATGTATGTATGTATGTATGTATGTATGTATGTATGTATGTATGTATGTATGTATGTATGTATGTATGTATGTATGTATGTATGTATGTATGTATGTATGTATGTATGTATGTATGTATGTATGTATGTATGTATGTATGTATGTATGTATGTATGTATGTATGTATGTATGTATGTATGTATGTATGTATGTATGTATGTATGTATGTATGTATGTATGTATGTATGTATGTATGTATGTATGTATGTATGTATGTATGTATGTATGTATGTATGTATGTATGTATGTATGTATGTATGTATGTATGTATGTATGTATGTATGTATGTATGTATGTATGTATGTATGTAGGTAGGTAGGTATGTATGTAATGCATGTATGCATGTATGTATGTATGTATGCATGCATGTATGTATGTATGCATGCATGCATTCATGCATGTATGTATGTATTTCCCGCAAAAAAACACGGTTTTTCTAGCGTTTTCGCAAAGAGGACGTCCAAAAACATTGAGTTTTTCCAGATTTTCGGCAAAAGGATGCAGGAAGCCCAAGCCAGCAAAAAAGCCGGCAGGGGGAATCGAGCCTGGGACCCCTGTTTTGCGACACCGGCTCCCCGAAGACTACGTTTAGTGGAACGTCATCAAATTGCCGCGCGGTACGTGGGGGACCCCCCCCCCAAAAAAAAACCTACGTAATAGACGTCGGGCGGGGGGGGGGTTAGGGGGGGGGGTTATCCTCTATCCTCTAGTAAGTATCCGACACGCCGAGCAATGTCGGCGGATAAAGGGGGTCTCTCGCGTTTCTAGGATGTGTTTTTCAATTTTCTAGCAGAATTGAATTTGAATTAATAAGGACATACTTTAGTAAAATTGCTAGTTTAAATGGAATCTAAACAGGTTTTCATCTTCATTTGATACTGTTGTTTATTAAGTGTCTTCCTTTAAGTTAGACATTGAACCGTTTTCCATTTTTATGGTTTGTATAGAATCCAGATATATAATTTCACAAGGACATAGTTCCAGTAGAGTTTCTATTTTAACGAACATGCACATATGCTTTTGTTTAAATGATATTTGTAGTTGGAACTCATTTCAAATCATATTTTTACGGGGGTCTCTTCTCTAGGACTGAGTTTTGCAATGTTCTATTTGAAATCCAAAATAGAAAGTAACAGTGACACATCCTAATACAATTTCTAGTTTCAACGATGATGTACATAGGATTGCCTTTTGGACGAACATGTTTAATTGTTTCTTACTTCATTTTTTGTTTAAAGAGGACTTCCTGTCCCATCACGTTTTTCCAGTTTCTAGATAGAATTTGACATAGATGTTAATATGGCACCTGCTTTCCCCAAAGTACGACAAAAGGCAGAAAGCGCCGCACACACCCAACAAAATGGTAGACACATGACATGGGGGTGGGGTTAGCATATAAATGAATCAATATACATATGTATATATATATATATTACATGCACATATTTTCGAGGGCATCCTTTTTCGGGTTGGTTTAGCAGGAAACAACAAAAGGGAACACCAGCGTTACTGCGAGTCCAAATTCCTTTTTTTGTTTAAACAAATAAGCCACCTTTTTGACTCCTGTACAGCCGACGCCGCTTTGCGAAGCTTGCCAATGACTATGAAGCTATTGGCCCCACTAAAACGAATTTTGTGGATTGACCTGGCGAGGTCTCTATGTCACGACTGCGCAACATGCCACCGTTAAACACGAGCCTCTTTGAAGGCGCCGTGCAGCAACTATTCTTGGCGATGAACCGCTTCCCAAGCCCTCCCCAGTCCGTTGCCCGACCTATCTTGCTTTTTTGTTGTTGTTGACCTGCAGAGTTAGGTAGGGCAACCCTTAGTGGTTTCGATTGGCTTGGGGAAATATACATCTCTGGTTCTTGGTCTGAGGACGAGGAACCCATCAAGACAGTCCTTCAAGCCACTCCAAGCCCTTGGCAGAAAAGGAAGCTGAGGTCAGCGTGAATCTCAAGGACGTTGCCTACACCAACAATGTGGAGGTCATCGCCTCTCAGGCGCGAGAGGGACACATGGTCCGAACCGCGCACATCGTTCGCCTTCTTTTTTTGAGCCCGCCGGCCTGGTTCGGGGGCACCTTCTTTTTGTGTGTTCTTTGACAGGGTGCCAACTTTTGTGCTGTTCTTCTTCTGTTTTTTTCTTCTGTTTTTTGTTGTTGCTTTCAAAAAAGCGAGCAAAAAGGGGTAGCCTAAGAGACGGGCTCTTTATATGCCCTGAGGAGAAGATGATTGGCATCAACAGCTGCATTGAGATGGACATCACCGGCCAGGCCGCCTCTGCTTCCATCGGCTCCCGCATCTACTCGGGCTTCGGCGGCCAGGCGAATTGGTCTCGGGTCGAAGGGTCCCGGGTCGAAGGACAACGCGTCAGGGGCGGAGGGATTGTTCTCGTCGGAGATCGGGGGTCAACAAGTGTACTCGTACGTCTTGAAATGATGCAATGGCAGAATCCTGGCTTGAGGGTTGAAGAATGACCAAAAACGAATGAATTCCTGCGTTTGGATTCAGGTGTGGCAATGGGGGTTGGGCCCAGCATCTATACTATGAACAAGCGAGAGGCGGGTTGGCGCTAGGCGTGGCCACCTGTCGCAAAGCACCGAACTACTTCCTGTGCGGAATAGACCAACAACACTGCAGTGGACAGACGTACAGTTTAAGGCATGCAGAAGCATGTTTCTTTTGCCTTCTTCATGCCATCACTTCCACAACTTTGAATAAGGTCTTCCAGGCCCACTTATTATGTCAAGTCTGGGTGGTTGCGGCCTGTTGGCAAAGATAGGGGGTTGGCACCCCCCAAAAAACAGCCATCCAAAAGGTGGCTTTCCTGTCTTCAAACATGGGTGAATCAGACCCCTACAAGCTGGCTTTTACGTTTCTCCCTTAGCTTGTCTCCTTTACGGGCATCCCATACAACTCTGCCCTATGTTACGAAACACCCAAAATACTCGACACCCCCAAAAAGACCCCAAACCAGCATAGTTGAAACTTGGTGCGCCCATGGGTTCCCCCGTTGGGCGTCGCAAACATGAGGCTCGGGGCTCGGGGCTCGGGGCAGGCCGGGCCGAGCCCTCGAAGCGCCAGGTGGACTTCGTCAGCGGCGCCAGCGGCTGCGCCAGGGGCAAGGGCATCCTCGCCATGTGCAGCCGGAGCCGTCGGGGTCCCGGGGACCCGAAGAGCGGGGAGGGGAAAACAAACAAAAGCGGGAAGCCGCTGGGGCAGGTGCGGGCAGATGTGTCGATTTTCTACGTCTTGTTTTTTGAAGAGAGAGAGAGAGAGAGAGAGAAAGCCTGGCGAGACAAAACGAAGAAGAGAGAGGAGCTTTGAATCAGGGCTCGTTTCTGTAAAAGTCGGGGTGCAGCGCGTCGTTGCAGTTTCCTCCAAGCCAGCCTTTCAGTTCCCTGCACATATGTTTTCTGCGCGACGGACCAAGGCAAGGGTGCCCCGCGCATCGTGCCGCATTTGAAGCTCGGCTTTGTCCTGGGCCAGCCCGCTGCAGTCGGGACGGGTTTAGTCAGATCCGGGGCTGGAAGTATCTATTTGTTTCGAGTAACTATGCAGGAACCAAGACGTCACCCACGAGGAATGCCTAGTTCCTGGGGAAGCAAACTTGTTTGCGATAGTTTTTGCGGTCAGCTAATTATGACTGTGCGCTGCAGAAGGAGGTGTTTTAGCATGTCACACACACACACATGGCTCATACGGACTCAGATGAGGTGTTCAGTGCTGGAGCCAAGGCGGGAAGCCGCTGGGGTGGTCACGACCGAGGCGCAAGTGCATTACGTCGTCACGGAGTATGGCTGGGCGAATCTGTTTGGCAAGACGCTGCCCGAGCGTGCACGGCTTTTGACAGACTTGGCGCACCCGGACGACCGGGAGACTCGATGAAAATGCAAAGCCATAGGCAGTTTGTGGTTGTTGGTCGCCATGCGTGTCGCGTTTAGGCAGGTGGTGTGACCAGTGTCACAAATTCCATGGGCCCTGCATTGATTTGCCCACAGGTCGCTTTGGCATACCCACTGAGGAAGCACTGGAGAGAGCATGCAAGCACCGCTTTGGGCGAGCTTTCCGGTGACGTCGCCGGCCGGGGCGTCCCGAACGCTCCCCTGCCACGTGAACTTGCAGGTCTCTCCAACTGGAATCCGCGAGTTCTGAGTCCGGAAGGCCGAGATCCACATACGCGGGCGCGCAGACCAAGGAGCCATCCAGCAGATTCTCAGCATTTTAATGTCAGCAGATGATTGGACGGCCTCCAGCTTGCGCGGAAAGCAAAACTCGGCGCCCAGTTCACTTTGAGAGAAGACGCCCTGTCAGAGTTACAGTCGGACCATCGAGCTGAGGTGCCACCACGAAGGAATCCTTGGAGAAGTCCCTGGAGGAGCACAATGGGCAAGGTCCATCCCCGAACGTGTTGGCTTTTTTAAAGTTGGCTTGGTGCAAAGCAGGATGCATTGTTTTCTTGGCAAGGACCTGGCTTGCAAAAACCGGTGGTCAACAACTGCTTTTGGGCTGCTCCAGCTTTTCCTTTGCTTCCCCTTGGGTTCAGGAGTGCACACATGGCTACTGTCTGGAGCCTTGGTGCTGGCCAGGTCCGTTTGAGTTCCTTTTCTAGGTCCCCCAGTGGTGCCCTTTTACCCTTTTTGGGGGGAGGGTTCCCCAACTAAAATAGACTACAGAAAAAAAGGGTACCCTTATTCTAACCTCTCTGCTGGAGGACCTAGTTTTGGGTTGGGCAAGGAACCCGGCGCGAAGCCGCAAAAGGTTTGGGGAAGCTTCGGATCGGACTTTGCGAGGCGTGCCTGGGATTTCGCGGCGCAGCGCAGGCTGGGAGCGAGCAGAGGGAACTCTTGGCCATCACTGTTTAGGAGAGGAGAGACATGGTGGAAAGCTTTGTTTGGTACAACATTTATATTATAAAAGCGTCGGGATGCCAACTAGACCTGCTTTGGTCGAGATGACGCTTTGATTCCTAGTCCCAGACAAAAAATGTGAGTGTTATATGATGCTTTTGTTGACTACGGAGACTATGACCATGCTCGTGATGTATCTCTTGAAATGCGAGGCGTTTTTACCCCGGGCCGCGGGCCGCGCTCGCGGCGCCCGCGGCGCCCGCGGCGCCCGCGGCACCGTGCGCTACGCGGCCGCGAAGCCGCAGGCGCCTTCTTTTTTGATTTGTTTTGTGGGGGACCGGTGAAGGTGTCATTTTTTTGTGGCAAGCCGAAGAGGTTTCACGGAGGGTTCTGATTTCCAAGTTTCTTGTTTCAAACTATGCCGAGGTCAGGTCAGATTATGATGGACGGAGAATCTTTGGAGTGGACCAAGTTGAGACGGTTTGCAACTGAGAGGTCGTCTCACCAGCGCCTCGCGTTTGCGCTCAACTCGTCCAGGTGACGCTCTTCACGAAACCAGGCTGCACCCTCTGCGACAAGGCGCCTCAAGAGGTCACTTCATCTAACCCACCGCCGCTTTCCGCGGCGGCCGAGGAACGAGTACTGAGTACTGCCCAGCTGTTTTGAGAAAGAAGCTGGCTTGCGCAGCCCCCAGACACAAACACACACACACACACCATCAGCCCCAAACGAAGACAGTTCACAAGAGCCTGCAGACAGCACCTTCCAAACCATGCGCAGCACAGACTGCAGGCGCATGGCAGCAACCTGGCCAGCAAAGAACGCCTAGTTGAATTGCATTCGGGCTGTTTAATAACCCGTTTCTTTCTGCTGAGAAGCAAAGGCTTTTTATTGCAGACAATGCCCCCAGGCTGAACACCCAGTGCCAATCCCCAGACACACAGTTAGTTAGAACTCGTCATGAAGCCTAGAGGCTCGCCCTCAAATCAAGCACCAGCCCACTCCCAAGCACACACACACACACATCGTCGTCAGCCCCAAGCAAATCAAGTTCACACCAGCCTTGTCGAATTAGACCAAGCGCCCAGCACAATCCCGAGACCCACATTACTATCAGCAGACCAATTCAATCGAGATTGCCCTAGCAAATCAGCAATCAAATTCATATTCATACTGGTACAGGGTGGAGTTGAGCCCACACCCCACGACCCTGCGTTTCTGAGTGCAAGCACCCTTGCGCAGCGATGCTTCCAACACGCACTCAAAGATGCACATCCCTTACACGTGTGCGTTCTGATTTGCGCTCAAACAATTCCCAGACACTCCCACACATTTTTTTCGGCGGCGTAGCATATGAGCAACTCGCCCACTTCTCTCCACTCGCATCAAACGCCGAGCGTCGCGCAAGCCGCCGGCGTTCGGCCGGAGGCGATGGAGAAGCTGAAACAGTCCTCACAGCCCTTTGAGCCCGAGCCCTGGGAGCGCGTGGGGAATGTGGGGAATGTGGGAGCGGAGGTGCGGCGAAGTCAAGCACTTCGGGTTTGGGAGAGAGGAGGTTCGAAAAAAGGAAAGAAAGGCGCTGTGATATTTAAGCCACATGGGAGATTTGGGGGGGAATTTGGTACCATATATACTTTGGCACTACATGTGGTACAATGGGACATTGACGGTTGTGGCATTCTCACTGGCCAGGCTTTCCACCATCAACATCGAAGCCCCAGGCAACGAGGAGTGGAACGCGAGGTGCCTTCAGCGCGTCCGGATTTATTTATTTTTATTTTTTACATCGCGCTTGAAGCGACTTGAACCTTCTTGGTTTCATAGAGAACCAGCATGGAACGCGCCATTTCAAGGAGGCCCTGGTTTTGAGCTTTCGAGCCCTCCAAAAGGATGTTGGCGAACTCGCGCTGGCTTTTGATGATTTTGTTGCCAACCCCTTGACATGTTTGAAGTCAGCGCTCGGCGCTGGTCTAGCAGACAAAGGGTGAATTAACACGACCCGGCCCAGCTCCATTCTAGTTACTTGGGCCACTCGTAGACTAATTAAATGTAAACATCGGAACATGAGCGCTGCTTGTTGTGAACCTGAACCGCCACACGTAGTTCACTTTTTGGGCAGAGGGCAGTATCCTTGGTCTGCGTCATATGGCTCCAGTGCTATTGTGACTTGAGATCCAAAGATCGGTGCCTGACCGATGTTTTTTTTTCGGCAAACACCCAGGCCCTTCTGCATAGGGTGCCATGAGTTGGCAACCTACACGGTGATTCGTGGTCTTATTCCGACGATCTGAGATCGAATTGATCTGAGGCCATTTGATGACCCTTGCCCTTGGCCTGAAAATACGATGGCAATCGCTATCTTTTTCGCCAATTCCCAAATCGTGACACCCGGGGCACGTCGACCGCTCAAATCTTTTCATTAGCTTTTGTTTGGTTGGTTGGCTGGCTGGTTGGTCGGTCGGCTGGTTGGTTGATTGGTTGATCGGTTGGTGGGTTGGTGGGTTGGTGGGTTGGTGGGTTGGTGGGTTGGCTGCCTGCCTGGTTGGGTGGCTGGTTGGCTGGCTGGCTGGCTGGCGCTCTGGGTGGCTGGCTGGCCGGCTGGCTGGCTGGAGGTACTGGTGCGACATCCCAGTCTTCCACATCAACGGCGCCTTCTGGGCCAAGCACCGCCTTACTGAGCAAGAGGTGGAGGCAACATGACGTCTGCAAGCGCTTGATTGAAGCGAGACGAAGTGAGGCAGCAGCGCAGTACCGTTTGGCCAACCATTTGGTGCCACTTTGGACTTTGGTTCCATTTAGCCACACTTTTGTTCAGCAGGTTTGGTCCCACTTTAGTGTTTGGTCCCCTTTCTTTTTCTGCTTGTCATCCAAGCCCCTTCTTATCTTCAACCCACTTGGTCCCAGCTTGACACCTGGCGCGACCAAATCACCTCCCGGTTCAGGCGGCCTTGTCCGAAGCGGCCGAGGGCAGCTTCCAGCGGAGAGGCCCGGGCGTCCCATCTCGTCGAAGAACCGGCGGGCGCGGGAAATGGGAACGCGGGGGTCAAAGGTTTTCCCCTCAACAGCTGTTGGGGATATCACCTGAGCTTATCAAGAACAATCTTTGGTTTTCCTTTCAAGCAGCCGCAAAAAAAGGAACCTCTCAAAAAAGGAGACGGCCGCAGATGGCTCGGACTCCTGACAGTAGGGTTTCCCTGAACTTGGATCGGACTCCGGACGCCGAGATGGGGAGCCCGCCGTCTGGAGCTGAGCGTCTGGTGGCTGACCCCTTTGAATTGCCAGAAGGGACTGAAAGGGCCGTGAGATTTCGGAGTTTCATGGCTGTTCTGAAGGATCTTGTTGGTCCAGTATTAAGTATTGATAAACTGGGGTTGATAAATGCGGGGTCAACATTATTGTATGAAATTGGGCACCTGCATCAAATGCGAAGTTTTTTTTCTTTTTTCTTTTTTGTTTTTGCATTCTTTTTGTTGAGGCCGAGGCCGAGTGCGGTGACGGCTGCGAATGCCTGGAACCCCATGGCGGAGTCTGATGTGCACCAGGGCGTGCCATGTGTTGAGGGCACTTCTTCCCCAGCTGCAAGCGCTTTGGGGGTCGTTGCCCAGGCCCTGGGGTGGTTTGGGGCAGCTTTCAACAAAAACACAGGCGGTTTCAGGGGTGGTTTTGGGGCTGTTTGGGATACCGCCTGTTTTTTTTTTTTTTTTTTTTTTTTTTTTTCTGTTTCTTTTGGGGGCGAGGGTGGTTTTCAGGAAAACCAAAAGGAAAGCCAAAACTTTGGGGGCTCCAGTAAACAAAGACACACCCACCGTTCTAATTGCCTTCAGCTCGTTGGCGTCACGCCGATGTTGGGAATGGCGTCTCGGATGCCAAGGCGACGATTGCCAGGGTCACTGAGAGCTGCCGGAGAGGCGCCGTTGGCTGGCAATGCAAGCATGCCAGCTCAGAAGCGACGTGCGGAAAATTCTCCGAGTACGTCAACTGCACTAACTGGGAACATGCAACACATTTTGCTTCCACATGCGATGAGTAGGTCGTCCACGTCATTGGAAGAAAAACATTGGGGTCTCCAGTTGTTGAACGACTCCATTGACGGATGGGAACAAATTCATTCAAACAAATGGCATATCAACTTCTTTTCCGAGTTGTTCTGCCGCCGCAGATACCACCGGCGTGGCCCCTTGGGCAGATCCAGGGTAAATCTACGGGTCACAGAAATTTGGTAAACTGTCAACTACACTCACTCGAGATCTTTGGTAATCCAGGCACGCCTTTTGGGCGATTGCCTTTTCAACGTGTCAAGCACCTAGGGACTTTGATTGTCTGCAACCATTCCAGAGTCGAGCATGTCCTGTGGGTAGTCAGCCTGGCCACCTCGAACCGCGAGCGGGCCTTCTGGCCTTTCGGTCTTCCAGATTTGCATAGTTTCAAGTAGGATTAGAACCAAGACCAACATGTGAATAATTGTTAACAGAACAACGCATTCATTTTGATATGAAACCATTTGCGATTGAATATGTGTCTGAAAATACACAAACAACAAGAAGAACAATACGATGTACAAACTGTCGACGATTTGGACGCTGAAAACACAATTTATCTTGAGCGTGCCTCTAAGGGCCCTTCCATCGAGTCAGAGTCGGGGAAGCGCAGGCTTCTGACGTATCCAGCGCTGGCTCGCTATTGGAGCAGACTATTCCCTTGGCCAATGTGAGTTTTTGTTGCTCCCACGCTCTTGGCATTGGCTCGATTGCGGTCTGCCCAGCTGAGTCAGAGGGCTTTGGCAGATCGGCTGAGGTGTTCAGTCAATTGTCCATCGAGGTTCTGAGATTGCCACGCCTCGCGCGCTGAGCCATGGCTTTGATCACTGGAGGTTTGGGAGGCGAGGATTTTTCGCGCGAAGAACATGGTTTTGATGTTCCGACAGGATGCATGGGAGACTGTGTGAGCATGCGCAAACATGGAAGATTTGGCAACTTGCTTGGACCTTCAAGGTCTTGCGGTGCATGTTGCACGGCGGCTGTCCAACCGGAAGCTCTCTGTTTCGGGAAGGCTCAGAGTCGGTTTGGAAAGGTGGCCGCGACCCCACCCCTCAACCGTTTGGGTATGTCTTTTTTTCTTGGTTTTTCTCGTTTCCCGTCCACCCCCCCCCCACCCCCTCCCCCCCCTTCATGCGACCCCACCCCCCAAACGTTTGATGTTCCCCCCCCCCCCCCCGGCGCACGGAGGTTTGGGTATCCTGGCCACGTGACCTTCCAGAAACGCCTGCGCAGGGTAGCCATCCGCTGGCGCCTTTATTGTTTTGCGGGGATGGGGAACAACTACGCCAGAGGGCTCACCTTACAAAAACAACGAGAGGGCACGAAATGGGTTTGGGTCAAAATGAAACCAGGGGACCGCACGAGTTAGTCCTTGGTTCTATTTATCATCGGCGAGCCATTTTGGGGTTCCCGATTTTTGGACAAACGCAGCCAAAAAGGGACCCTTCTGTTGAATCATTCGGCACCCATTGCCGTTGGCTTCACCGCTGGGCACCAGCCTCTATGGAGTGTGAAGGGCGTCGCCGCTTGCACAGCTGGCTGAGCGTTGCCCCGGCTTTGCACCTGGCAAACTCGCTCTCTGTCGAACTTTCACCCAGCTATCTGCGCACAGGAGTCACAAGAGCTGAACAGACAATTGCAGATGTGTCGGCCAAACACCACTAGACCCCCAGACGCTGCTACGCAAAACAACAAGGCCTCGAACTTCCCAGGTTCCGTGCTTCAGATTGCCTGAAGTTGAGTCACAGGTTGAAATCCGCGTCTGTCCGCATGGCGCGGAGAGCACTGCCTGGATGGCGGGTGAGTGCGAGGTCTTTCTTGGAGGTGCGCTGAGTCGATCTTTAGGCCCAACCTCAGGCTGTGAGTTACCATCTTGTCAGTTTGGGGTTTTAGTTATCCGGTTTTGACACCAATGCAGGCACTCGGATGTTGTGCTGAGACAATTGGCGCTGTCAAGCATGAGACCAATTCCTGCAGGTGGCAAAGGTTTCCTGTGGCTCTCAATGTTCATTCAAAGAAGGGTTTTAGCAATTTCGAGACAAACCGATCTGGACAATTTCGTTGCTTTGGGAATGTCTGTGCTCATTGCAGAAGAACGCCAGCAACCAGATCAAGTGAGTTTGTTCTGAAACGCGGGCACGGGAGGGGGAAGAGGACCATACACAGGGCCGACTCTCCAAACGAATGTCGTTTTTTGCCTGATGCCATCAGCAGGGATCGGGCTTACAAGCAAAGAATTTGGCAGAAGCAACTCGTGGACTGATGGTTGAACATTCGCTGAGCGCATTGGCAGTGCAACGGCATACAAAACCAGGCCGTCATTGGAGAAGGGAAGGGACTAACGAGAATCAGCTTGATGTTGGCTTAATCTGCAGATGCAGTCCGAGGCTTTGGCAAACGCATGTTTATCCCAATTGAATCTGCTGCCTTAGACATGGTGGTTCTTCGTAGCTTCCCAACACGCGATTATCAACGGGTTTGTGTTGGAACGTGTGGCCCCGGCATGTTTTAGGATGAGCTTCGGAGCTGGGCACAGGCACCATGTTCTTAGAACCATCTTGTAGTTTGAGGTTGCCCCACTGGGACATGACAGGTGATCTTGCGTGGCTAGAATGAAGATTTGGAGCTTCGGGGCTCAACCAGCTGAGATTACTAGACGTGCATAGCATGTACAATTGTCTACGTGTATGTGTATGTGTATGTTTCACCGGTGTGTGTGTGTGTGTTCGCGTGTGTGTGTGTGTGTGTGTCCATTTGTTTGTTCAGAGCTCAGATTTTTGTTTTCCTTTGATAGGCTTGCCCCACGAGCCCGAGCTCCTAGATGACCTGGAGCTGGCGCTGAGGGAAGCTCTCATTGACGCTCGGTCTTGAACTGAGAGACTTTCCAGCGAGATGGATGTGTCTCAAATTGGTCGCATCTAGGTTCTTTTGATTTCGGCAGCCAACAGAATCACCAGTTGTGAGGTCCCCAAGTTTGAGAAAATGTGAGGTAGGTGAGGCTTAAGGGCGATCGATCCATGGGACCTTAATCAAAGATTGCGGAAATGCGAGCCATGGTCATTGTAGGGATGGTCATTAACCCCCTGGAGGATGTCAAGCAGCTGCCGTCCATATGAGACATATCACAGGCGAGAAGCTGCGAACTTTAGGATTCAATTTCTGCGGTGCCGTCGACGTTTGCTGCAGGAGTTTGCAGCAGAATGGCAGCCAGATGCCACACCAGCAGATGCCGGGTGCCAAGATTCGGACCGAAAGGACACCTTGGAAATTGTACAGGAATGTCAAAGGACAGAGTGGCCGAAGAAAAAAGAGATGATGAAAGATAATACACAGTGGAACTGTACGTTTGGCGAGTTGGCAGGAGCGGATTACGCAAGTCACATGAGAAGAAGCAAACAAAACAGTGACAAGCGTTTGGGCGGGGTCCAGAATGCGTAGCTGCCGCTCTTTCTTGGGATGGAGTTGTTTGCCCGTCGTGCTTTGTAAGCTGCACTGCGTGGGGATCAGTGGCATGCGTGGAGCGTGCTGGCAGCTGTGCCTGGAGATAAGTCACGCCTTCAGATCGTTCGCATCTCAGCGGCAGGTGCGCCTGCGGCTGCACACCTCCAGGAGGACACTGTGAGGGGCGTTTTCTGCAGGCAATGGGTTGACGTTGTTTTTCATTTCAGCCAAAGAAGGGGTCAGACTTGTTTTGATACAGTTCTCAGAAAATGGCAAACACGAGAGACTCGGGCATTTGACACGAACGGCATCCGAGACTCTCCGTGCCAGCCAGCATGCGGGGATGATATGTGTATGTATCTATCTATCTACCTATCTAATCTAATCTATGCTATTCTATTCGAATCTATTCTAATCGAATCCAATCTAATCTAATCTAATATAATCTATCCATCCATCCATCCATCCATCCATCCATCCATCCATCCATCCATCCATCCATCTATCTATCTATCTATCTATCTAATCTATCTATCTATCTATCTATCTATCTATCTATCTACCTATCTATCCTATCTATCCTATCTATCCTATCTATCCTATCTAACCTATCTATCCTATCTATCCTATCTATCCTATCTATCCTATCTATCCTATCTATCCTATCTATCCTATCTATCCTATCTATCTATCAATCTATCCATCTATCCATCTATCCATCTATCCATCTATCCATCTATCTAATCTACCAATCTATCTATCTATCTATCTATCTATCCATCTATCTATCTATCTATCTGTCTGTCTGTCTGTCTGTCTATCTAATCTATCTATCTATCTATCTATCTATCTGTCTGTCTGTCTGTCTATCTATCTATCTATCTATCTATCTATCTATCTATCTATCTATCTATCTATCTCTATCTATCTATCTATCTATCTATCTATCTATCTATCTATCTATCTATCTATCTATCTATCTATCTATCTATCTATCTATCTATCTATCTATCTATCTATCTTATCTATCTTATCTATCTTATCTATCTTATCTATCTTATCTATCTTATCTATCTTATCTATCTTATCTATCTTATCTATCTTATCTATCTTATCTATCTTATCTATCTTATCTATCTTATCTATCTTATCTATCTTATCTATCTTATCTATCTTATCTATCTTATCTATCTTATCTATCTTATCTATCTTATCTATCTTATCTATCTTATCTATCTTATCTATCTTATCTATCTATATATATATATATATGATGCCACTGAATATGCGACACACACACACACATGTATATATATGTATAATACACGCACACGTCATCCCATTCACCCCGAGCACCCCGCAGGGTGTCTTTGTTGGTGCCCTGAAAATGACGGGCTCTTTCGGTTTCCCGTTTGTAAAACGCCAAAAAGACGAGCCAGCCATCCAACCCTTACTAAGCCCTTATTAAGGCCCTAGGTGGGGCTTATTTGGGCTCCCTTTCCCTCCCTCCCCTCCCCAGCCCCCAAGCCATGTCACAGGAGCGACTGCCGGGGCCTGGGCTACGGCTTCGCCTGGCTGCCGCCCAGCGCCGGCGCGGAGCTGCTGGCGCGGGACGCGCTGCGCTTCGAGCTGCGGGGCCGGGGGCTTCGGGGCCTGCGGGGGTTGCGGGGGTGGGACACGGGTGGGGAACCGAGGCGGGGGGCTGGGAATGAAGCGAAGGAAGCCCTGGATTTCTGGCGGAAGTTCCGATCTGTGTCGCCTTGAAGAAACGGCTTTGAGTCGGAGGTGTTGTCAGCTGAAAGGGTGGAGCGTCAACTCCCAGAGGGCCTAATTAGCTTGGTGCGATAGGTAGGGAACGACCCAGGGTGTTGGGAATGAGCCGTTTTGGGATTCCCCGAAGGGGAGGCTAGAGGGGATGGACCGTTTTTCTCGGGGGCATTCCATTTCTCATTGCTTGCTGATTTCGCATTAATACACCCTGGTTGACTAGTAGGGGACGCTTCTGGGCTTAGTGGGGATTCAGACCACTTTAGGAGGGGAACGCCCGCAAGTGAATAAACTGGTGTTGATTTATCTGGGGTCAAAATTAGGGGGGGCCCTCCAAAAGTGGTCTGAACTCCCACTAAAAGGGGACACCCCCGATCAAAATCAGGGTTTATCAACATTATCCTATTTCCGCTTGGTTCACATGGAAACCACGGACTACATACCAATTGCTACCTATTGTTGCAGGTTTGTCATTTTGATGTTCTTTGTCTGGTTTCTTAGAGGAAGGACCGCCACTTTTTGGGTTGTAAATGGAAACCCTATCAGTTATCATTGTTATTGTCAGACCGCTTGGGCGCCAGCGGTGGACGTTTTTCGTTCCTTCTTGTTATTTAAGACAAGACCACTTATAGAAACAACTTGCCATGGTGGTCATACAATAATTTATTCACCACTACATGATTTGAAGATATTGCCCCTCATTTCAATTCAGAATTTGCTCTTGGGGAAATGACCTTCTTTTGGAGGTTGCCCATGCAAGCCAGGGTTTTAGCCGACAAACATTGTGTTGATTGTAGCTCCTGGCGTGTCTGATAGTGTGGCCCTGCTACTAGTTGTTGTGAGTTTTGACAAAAGAGAGACAACTAGCCTTTGCTTCTGCCATGCAAAGGAAGCCACGATGCAAATGTTGAAGCAAGCACGGGAGCGCAACCAGATTCTGACTGAAAGCTCCGATGGAAATTCGGATGCCTCAAGATGCACACAGCAACTCATCGGGAGTCTCGTTCCAGAGCCCCTCGCGGATTTTGTGAAAATTTGGGCTGGTTGAGTCAGTCATTGGGCATTTGATATGCATGTACCTCAGCTTGGGCCTAGGGGAGCCCTAAGGAGTCACGTTAAGTAGAAGTAAACATGTATATATATATATATATGCATGTTACACATTTAGTACACAGATGTGCTAGTAATATACATTTGTATAAAGACAGGTGTTGGGTCTTGTGTGAGTTAAGGACGGTCATGTACCCGTGATGGCGTACCCCAATATCTCCGCATATCATTGGCGCTGTCCAGGGGTTTCCCATATGACCCCAGGGGTGCAAGTAAGGGCCAAGGGGCCGTGAACTTCGAACTTCCCACTCCAAGTGATGGATCCTCTTTTTTTTTGAGGGCAAGCAAAAGTGTTGTACCTTTCAGGGGACACCAACAGGACACCCCTCCAGGTTGTTTTTGTTGAGGGGGTGTCAACCGTTGTTAGCAAAGCCTTTGGTCCAGGCCAGCAGTACACCGCGCTGCCGCGCGCGGCCAAGGGCCACGCCCGCAACCGCGGGCCGCCGCCCGCACGGCCGGTGGCCACCTGTGCCCCGGCGCTCTCGTGATGGGCCGTGGGGGGCGGCCCTCTGGGAGACTCAGTTGCCCAGCGGCGCCCTTGTTCCCTTTTTTTTGGGGGGAAGGGTTCCCCTTGAAAGTCAAAGAACCAAAAGGAAGGATGCCTTTTTTTTCTCCCCGTGGCCACTGGGGTATCTGTGGAGACTTCAGTTGACTAGGTGGTGGCTACGCGCGCACCGAGGCCTCGAGATCACGGCCTTCAGCGATTTAGACCATGAAGCTCGGTGAGATTTGTGTCCAAATTGGCCAGAAGGCTTTCCATTTGCTGCTTTTATTATTATTATTATTATTATTATTATTATTATTATTATTATTATTATTTCGGTCAATGGGACCCATGGCCTGTTAGACTGGACCTCTAGGCATGCCTCGGGGATGGCGGGGATCTGCTCCGAGGATGGGGTGATGAAGGCAGTGAGCAGCCGTTGCCTTACTCGCTGGCGTGAAGCTTTGGATGCACCGTGCATGCTGTTGACAGAATGTCAACCCCTGACCAAAAACAACCCCCACTTGAGAGAGGTCTCCTGTTGTGGTGGGGATTCCTTTGTTCCAAATTCCCGGATTTTGTGAATCATCAAGAATACTGCTGGACAAGATCCTGCACCAGTTGGATAGAATCTTTTTCATGCATGTTTCATCCAAGATTCCATCCATCAGCTGCATCAACGTCTTGCACACTGAGGCTGGTCCGAGTTCCTGCTGCCCTGGGGTGTAGGAGCGGTACTTTGGGCTGGGCGGGATTCACAAGACTGTAGAAGCACAGCATGTAGCTGGGGCCGAGGTTTCTGTTTCCTTCTAGCTGCAGATCGCCTCATCTGTTGGAGTCCTAGGTCACCCAGTAGTGCCCTTTTACCTTTTTTTGGGGAGGGTTCCCCTACTAAAATAGACTACAGAAACAAGGGTACCGTTATTCTAGCCTCTCTACTGGAGGACCTAGAGTCTGTTTCATACGACTCGGAAGGGAAGCCTTTGTGCCAGGACTCGAGCTGCGCCACTTCCAGGTGGGCTTTGGCGACTCCTTGCCCAAGGTGGGCCCCGGTGATGGCATCTACGTGCTGGGCATCTCAGGTTGCATGCGAGAGTCTTTCCAGTGAGGCCTTCCGATTTTTTTTTGGTGGCTGTCACCTGGTAGGTAACCCTTAGTTGCTGCTTTGAATAGATGGCTTGGGGATTTGAGCCACTTCTTTTATTTTTTTTCTGGGAAGCCAGCAAACATCCAATCGAGCCACCAATCCAAACCACCCAACAAGGGGACGTTGTTGGCGAGGCACCCAGGGCTCTTTGCCGCGGAGCGCGCTGGAGTCCTTGCGTGGTGCGCCGGTGCTGGTGCTGGCGGCGGAGAACCCAGGTGCCGTGGTTTCACGCCGCTTCTGTTTGGAACGCAAAGGGAAAGCGGAGCCTCTCGTTTGTGGCTAAAGCAATAACATGGAAGATACTGCATTTTGTACATGTCCCTGGTGGAACATGTGCAATAAAACAAGCAGCGAGAAACTATAGATGTAACTTTTAGAAGCACTTGCAGCCATCTTGTGATCAAAGTCACGCTCAGGTGACGTGGAAGCTGATGCGCGGCGCTGAGTTGTTGGAAGCTCACGGCTTGCCTTGGCGCTGGTAAGGTCCTCACTTGGGCGGAGCTCGGAGTGGAAGGCGACCGAGGCATGGGATGACAAGGGAGGTCAGCCAATCTCAGGGACTTGGCGGTTTTTCCTGGGAAAGCATGTGCACATATCTCGTACTTATACTGGATATGATCCCCCAATGAGCTTGCATGTACGAACCCCCCCACCACGCTTGACACTCCCTTACTTCCCCAAAGGTTGTAATTTGGCCTGCCAGGGGTCCTCTGGGCTCGAAGAATTGTGCTTTTCAGCGTTCCTTTTGCAACAATGCAAGGTGAACCACATGTCTGTTTGAAAAACTGGGGAACCTCTTTTAGGATGGGCTTGAAAGGCAAAAGGAGAAGCCAACCCAGCAGGGCCTTTGTTGTTTCTTCTTCAAAACAAACAACAAACAACAACAAGACCAAAAGCAACGCAAGCTTCATGGTCTGCTCCAGGCTGCTGCGAGGCGCTAGTGGCCTGGGCTCTGCGCCGGAGCGTGGCCTCTCACCTCAGCGGGCGCCTGAAAGGCGGGGCCAGCGGTCCGGTTCTTCAGGGTGAAACCGCGAGGTGAGGGGCAGCTCTCAGATCGAAGGTGGCGGGTTTTGGTTTTTCTCGCTGGTGCGATAGGCAGGGACTGAGAAATGGAAGGACCCGAATAAAGGCCATCCCAGTGGTTTCCTTTAAGGGGATTTGCAGGTTCATTCCCTCATTCCCAACTGAGCACCAGCAAGTCTTGGGGGGAGGGTATATTTTTACGCTTTGCATAGCTTTGTATGGCAAAAACAGAAGCAGGATCAGGGGACGGGAACGAAGCTGAATTGATGCTTATTGTCACTGCATTCATGTAATCAACTCTGGATATTATTGCTTCAACAAAGTTGTATTACGCCTGACTGGCAGGTTAGCCCCTGGAGATTGACCAAACGAGATCCGTTCGGGTGGTCTGTGGGTTTACAGGGTAGGGGGGCCCTGCTTGCCTCAACCGACTCGTCGTTCGCGCCGCAGTCTTCGTGTGCGACTGTGACCACACCCTGTGGCTTGGCTCGGCAACCGGTGGCCAGCTTCCATAGAGGTGGTGGGTCAACACCAATGGTACCATTTAGGGGTAGGTGCACCACCCATTTTAGTCGATTTTAGTGGGGATTGGGATGTTCACTGGGGGTACGGGGTTTTGACCCATAGCCAGTAGTGTGTTGTTTGGATTCAGCATTTCTTTGCCAGGTGTTGAGTCTCAGGTGGGGAGGAGTTGTGGCAGAGGACGGCGTCGAGGAACTCGACATGGGCGGGCCCTTCGGCCTATTGCAGGAGAAGGCACGGGCTACTGTTGGGAGAGTCGTCTTTGAGGGTTCCGCTTTGGGTGTTCCGCTTTCGGGCTTCTCGGAAACGCTTTCCTCCCTGCCCCCATGTTGAGACATATTTCCTTGGAGCTGCAAGGGTGTTCGCCGATTCCCTGCAAGATGCCAAGTTGAGGCATAGCCTTTCTTGAGCCTGGAGTCTGGAGGGGCACGCCCCGTTTTGAGGCATTGCATCAGTCTGGGTTCGGCGCGTCACTCAGGTCTCCAAGCTGCAGGACCGATGGGGAGTTTCCACGTATTTGGCGGGAGGGCTGCCTGACCCGACATGAGATGCCCCATGAAAGATTCGTTGCCTGCGAGCTTTTTGTCTCAAAAGCTGAGTTTTTGGCTGTGCTCTGAGCTTTGAGCCTGTCAGGAGCTGGGTTGCCTGGTGTGCTTGGCCTCCCGCAACGAGGAGGACTGGGCTGGTCGCTGTTGCCGACCTGGATTGGACAGACGAGGCAACTGGAAACCATGGCCCCTACACAATCAGGAAGGCTATACAGTACATCTGAGATCAGCGATTTCTCATGACTCAGGAAGGTTCCGCTGAAAAGGAAACACATCCCTCTCAAAGCGGGACCAGTAGGTTGTGAACTGGGGGGTTGATTCATTAGGCAAGGGTTCAGATGAACTTCACAGCGAAGAAGACACCCTCCATTGAAAGAGCGGAGACTCCCGCATGGCTGGTTTCCTTTCTGGTCTCCATTTTAAGACCGTCCAAAAGTGGCTGAACTCATTTTGGGGCACCTGGGCCCCATCTTACAGTCCGTCTGGGGCTCCATCCCTCTGAAAAACATCGGAGCCAAAAGCAAAGGGAGCCCAACTCCAGGCAGCACAGGGGCGCCTCCCATTCTTTCCAGTCTTCTTTTGTGGCACCGGCCAGCTGAAAGAAACACATGGCTGTGGGTCAACACCAATGGTACTACTTTGGGGTAGGTGCACCACCCATTTTAGGACCTATTTTAGTGGGGTTTGGGATGTTCACTGGGGGTACGGGATTTTGACCCATGCCCACATGTTGACAAGAATGGGCAGGGGCATCAACGCTTAGAAAGACGGGCCGCCAGGAGGACGTCTTGCGGGTCTTCTCAGAGCGGGAGATGGCGCTGAAGAAAGAGCAGCTGGCGTCATGGCAGGCGAAGAGTCGGGATGAAACGACCGGACGGTTCCTTTGCTCGGGTGGGTAGGGAGGGTCGGCAAATTGTCAAGAGGGGTTTGGACCACCGAAAAGACATCCGTGGTCCCCGGTTTGAAGGTGTTTTGGGGGAAAGGGCCGGCTTTCCGAAGCAGTGCCATGGTACCTGCGGAGGACCTTGATATTTGGCATGGCTGATTTCTCCAAACTGGCTCAGGTTTAGTCTGGGGCAGTTCCTAATCCAATGGGGGCAAGCAGCTCGAAGATGTAGCGCCCTTTTTGGAATGGTTTGTAAAAGGGCAACCATTGGGAGGCATGTTACCTTTGACGCAGAGCTGTGTAAGCAACAGTCAATATCATTGATTGTAGTGAGGTGCAATCACCAAATTACCAGCTAGTCCAAATCACACCCTCAAGATTGTGAGATTCAAGCCAAAGCAGGGGCCCAAAAAAGGAGATTCGTCAAGAGGCTATGTTGGCGCAGTGTGTCTTCGTTTGAGGGTATCCCTTGTTCGTTATGGTTTCATGATTCATCCAGGGTGGGGCTTGTCTCAAAATATGGGACCCCTTCTATCCCCGTGGTTTTCCTGCAAATTCTCCCAACCAATGTTGCACCCCATAACGCGGAAAAGTTGGCTCCATCCAATCCGTGGGACCTCTGGATTGAATCCTGCTGCACGAATGGCTCCAAATTGAGCCTTAGGCAGCCCCTCCTGAGGCAGCCCCTCCTGAGGCAGCCCCTCCAAATGGTCGTTTTCAGTTGGGTGGCTTCCCAATTCCAGCATAACTCCCCACCGACGATTTGTGATCAGGGGAACATTGCCGAATTCTCCAGACAAGAATCTGGCTGTTGGTCAAACATACGTACCCGAAATGGCTTGCCCTGGTAAATGGAGCCAAGGACTAAAAACCCAGCGGTGCATATCCTGGTTTGATTTTGACCCATACCATGGTGAATGTTAAATATGTAAATTCCATTCACCAGAAATTCCATATGCTCTAAAGGATTCGAATCGGCTTCCTTTCGAGTCGAGAGGTGCACTGGGGCTCCAAAGTCTTGAGCCTGCGCCGCCTGGCCTCCGAGCTGCGTTTGGGCCTGGAGGCCATGGGCCGGAGGGCCGTCCCTGACTTGGGGTTTGTTGGACAGGCTGATGACACCGTGGTGGCAAACTTGGTTTAAAGCCTATTTCTGCGATACCAGCCAAAAAAATTGAAACCCCAAGCAAAAATTCTGAACGGAAATGATAAAGTAGCCATACTTGTAGGGCTGGCCTACTTTGGTATCACAGTTCGTGGTATGTTCCACAATTGGCAGCTGATGACCCAAGGTGCCGGTTCACCATGCGTCGCTTCAGTCCGGTCGTTGTCTCGTTTGACAAGTTCGCAGAGAGCTGAGTGTGCCAAGTTTGAAGGTCACGGGCAGACAGGCCTGGCTTTCTGTTTGTCAAAGTTTCCCTAAGGGAAGGAATGAAACTTGTCCCAGCGATTCACGGACATACAAGGACCTGGTTCACCGCTTGGACAGTCCTAGTGAACTTCAGGGTCTCTGGGCTTTTTCTGGAGTTCCAAGTAAAGGCGTCGAATTCCTGACCAGGTAGTTGACTTTCAGTGGGGGCGATCTCTGTGGGGGACCAACAAACCCTGAAGTAACTTTTTCTGTATGTGGTATACTATATGGGGTTGCTCATCTAATCGTTGGTAAACTATAGGGAATAAGATCTCAGATGAAGAAACTGTACGCCCTGGGATCGCACCTGGGATGGGCTCAAGTCTCATCGGGGTTGTCAAGAAGGATGGCCTCCTGGCTGCCGCCCAACTTTTTCACAAGGAGTCCTAATTCTGACAACTATTTATTTGTTTATAGCTTTAACCCAGTGGTGTTTATAGACAGTTTGTTCAAACAGCAAAACAACCATTTTTTTGACAAAAGCCCAAAGGCGATTATAAACACGAGTTTCCAAACAAAGCGAAACACAAAAGGCAAATGAAACACCCACTTGGAACACCCGTTCACCTGTGCGGTTTGTTTGGCGCAGGCCTTCGTCTTCCTGGACGACAACCCGGCGGAGGTGGAGGCAGTGCGGCAGAGCCTCCCGGAGGCGGGGACAAGAAGTTGTTTTGGTAGTTTTTGGGTCAGAATATGTTTTTTGGTCAGCTAGGTCCCTGAGTAGTGCCCTTTTACCCTTTTTTGGGGAGGGCAAAATAGACTGCAGGAAAAAACGGGTACCCTTATTCCAACCTCTCTGCTGGAGGACGCATTCAGTTTTTTTGTTTGAGACGTTGGTTGTTTCCGTCTTTATGCCTTTCCTTTTCGTTTTTGTTCCGTTTGGCCCTTTTGTTCCAGGTGTACTTGCGAATCGCGGGAGCTATAAAACAGATACCTGTAAAAAAACAAAACTCCCGAGAAATTGAAGAAGAAGAAGAAGAAGAAGAAGAAGAAGAAGAAGAAGAAGAAGCAGAAGAAGAAGAAGAAGAAGAAGAAGAAGAAGAAGAAGAAGAAGAAGAAGAAGAAGAGAGAACACATATGCCCCTGCAGACAGCTACAGGAATTTGGCAGGATATCTGCCCCTGCTTCCTTGACTAGTTTCCCTGTATAATTTTAGCTGGTTGTGAGTTGCAGGTATCCATCGCTTCGTGTTCCTTCAAGTGAACACTTTGAGTTCTCAAATGACTGGGGGTGCTTTGTCTTCAAACCAAAATTCGGAGGTTGCAATTTCGAGGATGTCTTACTGACGTGGAATCCAATATGAAACTGCCAGGAATCGATCCTCACATGAGCAAGAAGCAATCTCTTCCCCCCCCCACCCCACCCCCCCCCGACCTTTTTTCGGAGTTGGGGCTGACATGGGTAAAAGATTGGCGGGTGCTGGACAATGGGCGACCCCCAATTGGGTTGGCTTTGGCAGGTTCCCCCAACAGCGGTGACCCCGAATTTGGTTGGTGGTTTCCTTGGCTCACCAACTTCATCATAGTAGTATAACTCGCGCAGATGTGTGTGTGTGTGTGTGTGTGTTTTGGATCCCTTTTTGGGGCACGACTGCCAAGGGGAAGCCAAAAGCACAGCCCATTTGGGGTCATCCCAATTTTGACACATGGGGGTCGACCAACAAAAGAGGTAACTTTTCTCATGTAGTGGTGAAAGTCGTATCTTTTTTGGGTGGTTTGCCCTGGTCATCCCATGTATCAAAGACCTTTTGATCACCCCCCCAAGCCCAGCTGCCCATTGCTCGAGGTCTTGACGGTGACGATCCCCTCGGAGCGCGACGCCTTCACGGCGCTGCTGCGGTGGCACTGGGCCCTGGACGCCTGGCGCACCAACGGCGCCACCGTGGAAGATGCGCGGCGCACGCAGATGCGCCCGGATGGCGCGTTGGAAGGGAGCAAGAAGCACACAGTTGAAGGCTCAAACGTGACACAGCGCATACAAAATGTACAACACGCAAAACATGTGCAACATGTAGAAGCTGTATAATATGTAAAGTAGGTGGCATATGTTATGTGCTTCATGCCTGTACGAATATGTACTAATAATACCTGGTTCGCCGATGTTGCTGCTTTTTTTTCGACCACTGTGACTCAAAAAACAGTCGCATTTGCAGAGTGGCGGAAACACTAGTCACTTCATATGCAGGTTACCAAAATGATGTCACAGTGACTGAAATCAACAAATACATATGACGAGGCGCCACCTTCGTGACGCCCCATGGGCATAGGTCGCCTACGTGTGGCTGGGCAGTCCCTATATTTACAGCCCAGCTGCTGCGTGGCTGGAAAAGGATTAGTGCCCGCTCCCGTGGGCCATCCCGTCTGCGGCGAGCATTCCGCAAGACCAGCCTGACCTTGCGCCTTTGAGTTGTATTGACTGATGTCGCTCTGTCCGCAGGGGCGTGTTTTGTGACCCGGGCCTGCGATTGTTTCTGAGTTGCAATGGTTTGTCATGACCGAGCTCTTGAAAGCTTAGCCAGGATGTTGTAATTGCGCAAGCGTATGTTGCGCGCAGGTAAGCCCGGTGGAAGAGCTTGAGGACAATTGTGCGCAAATGGTTGGAGTGGAAAGCGCGGCGGTTAGAAGCCGACTACAAAGTGGATCATGGTGAACGTGTGTCACACCGTTCCAGCGCGTTGATTTACCACAACAGCTTCATGCCGGCGCTTTCCCACATGCTATCCGATCATCATTGCGGGACGCTGGCTCCAGCAACATCGAGACCCTCAAGCCAGCTGCCGACTTGATGAAGGCTTTGGCGTTCACGAACAATCCATGAGTGTGTCTTGCGTCGAGATTGCAGCTGCGACGACATGCCAAACATGTGCCGAGCTCGGTGGAAAAGGCGTGCTGCTCCGAGGAAGCTGGAGCCATGGGCTCGGTCGCTTTGCCTCTGGTGACACAAGCAAAGGGTCACAGCTATCAGTGCCCCACATGTTCAAAAAATCGCAGGCCACCCACGTAGGCGTGTATATATATATATATGCTTCACAAAAACATGCTGGTATTGCCCTACGCTGCAACAACCTTGAGAAATGTTGTGTTTTCAGCCCTAAAACAATTGCCGCGTGCGTGTGACGCCGTTCTATCTGTTTGGGCCATGTTTGGAGGATGCGCCACCCCGAGCCAAAATTGTGCAGGGCTTCCAGCAATCGCCCTTTGAACCAGCCCGATAAGGGCACCCTCAGGAAAAACCCTTGAAACAGATGTCACCCTATGACGAAGGGCTGGTGGCGGAAGCTGAGGTACCGCGAGGCAGCGCAGAGGAAATTGGCGCGGCAGAAGGCGCCCAACTTCCAAGCTTTCCTTCAGTCTCTTGAGGCGATCGGCGAGGGGATCGGATGGTCTGGTGGTTGCCGTGGGTCGCACGGTGAGCAACCCAATCGATACAATGAGGGGACAAAAAGCTGAAAGGTTTGTGAACTGTTTTTTGGTAGTATGGGTGGCTCGTCCTTCTTTTTGGGGGACCCCCCAAAATGGTGGTTTTTCTTTTGGTGTCCCTTCAAAAACCATCCCAAAACGTCCCCTCAAAAAAACACATACAATATAAAGGCTTATGGGGGGCTAAAGGTTTTGGGGGTGAACCAGCTCTGGGGGTTTCAAAAGGGGCTTTAGAAAGTGAGAAGGACGTTTGTGGAATCCCACGCATTTGCGGATTCACAGGTCGAATTTGTTTTTTGACATTGTCCAGGGAGTTGTCGTCGCAGGGAATAGCAAAAAAACACCCTCATCCCGAAACAAAGGGGACCGAAAACAAACAAGGATTGCTCTTGCCGCCGATCTTCGGATTGGATGTAAAAACGACTGGTGCCTGGTGCCAATGCGTGCCGTTTTGCTAAAAGGGCGTGTGACATGGGTTTGTCGCTCCAAAAGGGACGCTTTCCCTTTCCTTTTAGACCAATCCCAAGGGGACCCTCAAATAATGAGGAGCCACACCCTCGCAAAGCTGCCATAAGATGATGCCAATGGTCCAGTTTCTGTAGCGGGAAGCTTAAGGTGAACTCTGAAGCGCTGGATTCCGAGGTGAAGATCGAGCTTCGGAGACCCTGTGCTAGCGAGCTGGTGTGGCGCTGAGGGTTTGGAGTTTCGGACCCGAGATTCGACCTTTTGGTTGATATTTTTATGGGTCGGAGGTGGGAGCCCTTGATTTTGAGGCAGGAGGAAATCAGGTCCGTAAAAATTCGAAGCCAGTGGGGAACTCTAGCGCCCGCCAGAAAAGATTGGTGTTCACCTAGGGTAAGGAGTTCCTCTCCCTGGTAACGGGGTTTGGCGACCGACAACTACGAAAGAGAGAGAGAGAGGAAAGAGACGGGGAGAGGTAGAGAGCCAAACCAGTGCTTGTTTGAACAAACAATCCCACATTTCGCTTTTCCATGAATTTGTTTGTCGTGTACTTCAGTTTCCCTCAAGATGTCACCAAGACCCGACGCACCCAGCGCGCCCTGAAGTCCAAGCCCTATGTCACCCCCGCGCTCCTTCGCAGCACTTCGTTCCGAGCCGACTCGACTCGTCTCGTCGAGGCTCGGGTCTGCCAGCTGTCGCTGCGCACCAACCAGATGAACTCCACGGGCCTGCGCTTCGCCAGCGAGGCGGTGCTCCAGGAGTGGCTAGGCCGGGCGAGCTGAAGGGATAAAAGGGGAGACTCCTCGGTAGAACAGGGCGCCATGGATGGTTTGCCACTAATTCGGCGTGGAATCCTGACTTGTCAGAGGCATGCTCGGTTGCGCTGGGTTCCACAGAAAGCTCAGAGAGCTCACTGTTGTAGCTCGGGGGATGTCGGCGATGAGTTGGCAGCGTTGCCAGCATGCCTATAGATCCACACTGCGTGCGGCCAACTGGCAGAACAACGGCTCAATCATGTTTGGCCGCCGCTAACTCGAGGCAAAGCCGCTTGGCACCCCTCACACGTCACATGGCCGGCAAGCCCTGAGGTGATGGCCATTGGATCCTGGCCGCCTGGGTGTCAGCTCCTCGTTGAATCGCAGGTGTCTTTTGCTGGCCTCGCCAGCCACAGGCTCTTGGGGGAAAAGAAGGAACTTGAGCCAGACATTTTTCGTGTGGGCAACTGCCAGCGCACTTCTTGTTCCTCTCAGGTATACCCAGAGAGCTTGCTGGTGCTCAGTAGGGAATGAGGGAATGAACCTTATAAACCATCCAAGTGGTGGTTTCCTTTAAGGGGACCCCTGGGTTCATTCCCTCATTCCCTGCTGAGGACCAGCAGGGCGTTTTCTTGAGAGCCAAGGATCGGTTCGGGGACTACGGCCTGGTGGGCTGTGCCTTCTGCGCTGAGACGGAGGTGCTGGTGGTGGAGCGTCTTGGCCAAATAGCGGCCTCAAGGGAGGGAGCGCTTCTTTTGTTGCTTATGGTTTGCTTTTGGGGGTGAGAGGTGGGGGAGGGGGGGGAGGTGGTGGTGTGCAATTGTGACTTTCCCAGATGTATTGGTATGTTTCAGGTTTGGAGGCAACATCGGGAGAAAGAGTTCATGACGGCCCTCATCACCCACGAAAGTAGAAAGGAGGTGTGTCTGGATTGTCAAAGAGGGCTTCTGTTTGTGGGTACTTTGTATCATGGGCCTTTTAGTGGCAGTTGCCATGTCCGACCTGAACCAGCAGAGGTGCCTCTGCATGTCCTGCCGGGTGCTGCACCGCGGTGTGGAGGAGGCGCTGCTGCGGAGCTGCGCCGAGAGCGCCGACGGCAAGGCCAATGGATCCATCGGAGCGCGCGCGCACACGCGCGCGCTCGTGACCTTGGTCGAGCTCCAAGAGACGGTGGACAAAATACTTTTTTCCCCCCTCCCCTGTTGTGGAATGAATCTGTTGCCAAGTTTCCTTGGACCCCTCTTTCTGAAATTGCCTTCCTGTAGAATCACTGGTTTGGGGGTGGAAGCTATCGATTGTGATGCGGGTGGAGGTGATGGTGCCTTTCCTGCCGACGCCCCGCAACGAGCTGATGCGGCGCTTTCTCGCGCGTGTGGCCAGCTGGGCGGAGGTGCGCTCGACTCAACCGGCGGTCGGTCGGCCGTTGCATTGTCCAAGCCACTATAGGTGACCAGATATTTTAACCTCTAGGTTTTACATTCTGGCTTCTTCCTGGTTTCGTTTCTATGGCAGTCGAACTCACTGGGTGTGTGGGTGGCTGTGTCACATGCCCTTCACATGTCGACGCAATTGTTCATGGGCCTGTTTCGGTGCCGCCTGGCTAGGGATTTTGTGACATCGTGACACGCGCAGAAAACGAGTGGGACCCTCCAAACAGCTCTGTCAGGTTCTTTAGTCCACCTTGCAACCGAGGGCTTGCTAGCCTTCAAGCATGCAACTCCTTATTTACGGAGCCAGAACATTTCTTGAAACAGGAAGTAGTATTCCAACTAATCCAACGGGGCACTTGTCTTGGCCTTTTTCTTTTGGTGGTGTCGAGTAGTGACGCTGGGGGGGGAGGGGCGCGGCAGCGTGCAGCCGTTTGTTTTGCGTGTTATCAGTTGCAGGGGCTGAGCACGCTTGCGAGTGGCAGAAAGAAAACCCCCCCCTTGCAGTTTCAGGGCTCCAGTTTGCTCCTGAGAGAGTGATTTTGATTTAAAACCCGGCAGTTTGACTGAAAGGGGCATTGGTACAAATCATGTATGGGGCTCTAAGGGGTTCCAACCTTCTTGATTGGAAACAGCTGAAGGGGAAGCTTAAGAGGTGCCCAGCTGGATTCTCATGAGCCCAAGGGGCTCGTCGCTCTGGCACCCGAGAGCGATTTTGCAGCTGTCCTTTTCCAAGTTTAGGAAGATCCAAAACGGGTTTCAAGGGAGATATACCTCGGCCCCTTCAAGGAAATCAAGAACTTCCAAGGCCCGCATGTGGGTGTTTGTCTTCTTCTTTGATACTCTTTTTGTTTGGTTTTGAGGGGGAACCAAAAGGACGCCCACCTTTTTTGTTTGGGGGTCACCCAAATTTTCAGAAAGGACACCAGTTGACGCATTTTTGCAATGTTTTCTCGGGGTCCCCAAATACCAAGAGGAGCCATGTGACCGAGCAGCCGGCGCCGAAGACCCGCCCGATTTCCGGAAGGTGTCGGAGGCGGAGGCTGGGGCCACGGTGGCGCTGGGCCGCCACGGGGGCCGCCGGGGGATCCTGGCGCCCGCCATGGCGCTGCCGGCGGCGAAGCTTCGGAGCTTGCGAGGCGAGCGGAGCGGGTGGGCGAATGCGGGGGCGTTCGGTGGTGTCCGGGGAGCAAATCGGGGGGGGCGGGGGGGTGGTGGTGGTGAAAATGGGATATACCTCTACTGCTATTGGGTTGGATCTTTAGACTTTAACTTTTTAGGGTACCCTGCATATTTCCGTTTAACCTAGTTAAACTTTTTGCTGGGGGATCTACAGCATCCAAGATACAAGCACAGACTCGAGGTGTCCAGTGTTTTGGAGGAGTTGTCAGGGTTTCGCGGGTGCAAAGGGATATAGAACCATGATGTGCCCACTAACCAACTATGATTACGTGTGTCCAGATGTTTGTCGGAAATTAACTAGGGGGTGGGGGAACTAGCACACGGAGATTGGACCACCTTAGGAATGCCCTGTCAGGGGTTTCCCGATACGAAGATCTGACCAGGAAACTACTTTGAGGTGAGCATTGAGGCAAGACCCCCACCAAGATCAAAGCAAATACCCAACTAGATATTCTTCCCCGACTTCTGATTCAGAATCCGTTGTCAAAACACTCACCTTCACGTCCAGCTGTCATTCGAAGCCGTGATGAGATAGCCTCAAGGGAGCTTCCGTTTGACCCCAACACAGAATCGCTGGTTGCGAAGGGTGGAACTCTCAAGGGGAACTACATTCACTGCCGGGACGGTTTTTGGGGATCAAGCAGGGGAAACGTTGAAGATGCAAACAATCGGGGGAACTCGTCGGCAGGTGGAAATGTGAAACCAGGAAGAAGACAACTCCACGAGCGGAATCCAAAGGTCAGAATGGTCAATGTGGATCATTCATCAGCAATGTTCTGAACCGACTCCTTCAAATGGCAACGGTTTCATGATGTCGTCCTTGAAGGGTCCAAGTTGGTGAGAACCACATTCCTCCAGGCGAGAACACTTTGGACGAGGATGAGGCCGGGAATGAGGAGCTTCAGAGCGATGCCAAAGAAGTCAAGGCTGACGCCAGGGCTGCCGTGGATTGGTCGGCGCTGCTCAGCCACGGGGCTGAACAATTGTTTAGAAATGCCAGCCTGCGGCCACTCATCCCTTGAGCTGAACATGGTGACGACATGGATTTTGGATGCTTCTTCCATTCGTCGCTTGAGATTGGCCCCTTTTTGGAGAGGCCCGAAACTTAGGCAGCATCGCGCAGATGGGCCTGGAGGCGGCTGGTGGGGTGTTTGCTCTCTGAGGAATGTTGGGAGCCACAAAGTTTGTTGATAACTCCATGGCCTATAGTTGACGTAGAGGTGGCAGGTGCATGGCCCTCCATTGATGCATCCTCATTCAGAGGGTCAATGCTGTGAATGACACGCTTTCCAGTCCGTTGCTGTGAGTCATGTTGCCAAGTGGCGCTGTGAGCTCTTGGATTTGTCTGCCAGGCATCTGAGGCGTCGAAAAAAGGAGCGAGGGCGATTTCGCGCGGCGATTTCGGCTCGCGCCGCCGGGAGGCTCGCAGGAGCGGAGAACGTCGGCTCGAGAGCGACTCAGGTACGAGCTGGCCGCCGCGGGCGCCCCTTATGTGGTCACAACCTCCAGGCGGAAGAGTGGTTCAGCTGGCGCTGCTCAGCTGGCTCTTGGCTCAAGAAATTTCTTGGGTTCAACGTGGCTCACAAGGGAGACTCTTGGCTCTCCCAAAGTATTTCTGGGAAAACATGAGTGCTGGTTGTTTCCCTTTTGTGCTCGTGCACAAAAGGGGCATTTCTTGGGCAGTTCAGTTCCGACGCCAGAAGCGGGCGCATTGCTGCTGGCCAGCCGGAATTGGCCAGGAGGCTCAGAGGGTGTCAGGATGGTCCGGTTCAGGATGCCGGTTAGGGCAACCCCGGTATGACACAACCCGCAAGGCCATTGGCATGAAAGTTGATTTGCCGAAATGGATCCTTTGAGAAGTTTGAGGTTGCCAAGAAGAGTTGGACCACAAATGGAACAGCCGCATGCTGTTTTTCTTTGGGGCATGGCCACCTTGCTCTTCATGCGTCTCATATCGAAGGTCCAGCTGCAGGAGAACTTGCGTCAGCCACACGCTCAGGTTGCGGTGGTGCGCAACCTTTCGGCGCTAGGTCCAGGGTTGCAGACTGGCACGAGGTGGCTGGAATCTCCATGACCAATGATCCAAGTTCAGGTTTTGGAAGAAATAACATGACCATGGCAGACGTTTGCACATGTCTTTTCTCCGATCTCTTTCTTGCAGGATTTCTTTTTGCGCATGCTCTTGGCGACAGAAGTGAAAGCTTCATGTGATGAGAAGCTGCAACTTCTCAGTGCGTGCTGAAGGCCCTATGAGCCGCAATCAAAGCCCGGGTAGGCGAAGGTTGATAAAGGCTACTCCAAAACATACATGGGTGCAGCCGCATTCTCGATTTTTCTTCACATTTTGGGCAGACCAGTTTTCTCTCTGGGTTTTGATTGTGACTCTCATCTGGTCTCTGCCGGTGTGGCGATCGGAGCCGAGGTTCTGCAGCCACTACAACGCCAAGATCGATGGTTGTGACATCGGCGCCAGGACCTGAGTACTGGACAAGGGACATGAGACCGGACATAGGACGTGCCGAGCAAGAGGGAAAGAGCACAGGATAAACTTCTTCCATTCCTTCCTATGTTGTGAAATGACGAGTGACATCGATTTAAAACAAATGTCATCCAATCCAGGCAATGCCTGTTCCAAGGCGTCATACAGGGGATCTTGATATACTGGCAGCAGCTTTCTAAAGCTCCTGGACCGAGAGAGAATTCGGATGGCATCGCTTACCAGATGTCATTGGTTTGCCTCGCAAGCCTCGCGACAGGGCGAATCACCTGAGTTGTACTTGCTGCCGTCGGGTGACTAATGGGGGGTCCTTTCACTGTGGGACACATCTCCAGTAATTACTCCAGGAGGATGAAAAATCCGTTATGAGGGCTTCAAGATGTGATCTTTCAGCTGGACAGGCGAAAGAAATCTTGCGTTTTGAGCTACCTGCCGGACTCACCGGTTGGAGGTGGCGTCATGCCTACAGATCTCCAACAGCAGCTTCATATTCAGACGATCAGGTTTGGGTGTATGCATAGGGGCAAAGAAGCCACGGGCACAAGGAACATGCGGGGCTGTGCCCTTCTTGGGTTGGTTTCCCAGGTGCCCATGTCCCGGTGCCAGCCCTCCGTCCTTCGGCGCTTGCGAAGGCTCTGACGGACCTCTTCCAGTGGATGCAACGCCCTGACATGCAAGCGGAGGATCTTGGGTTCTCGGGGACGTGAGGGCAGAGGCTGCCATCCTCTTGTTTGCGGGCTTGATGAATGCAAGGTGTGATGCCAGCCAGGAGACGGATCTCTTTACGACCTGCATTGGAACTGCCCGGGCACTTGCTATGATGGGCATGCCAGCATCCACATTTATTGAATGAGTCAAACCTTTGGGCCAGGTATCTTGCAAGGCTCGTGTTGGGACCGTCCCCTCCGGAGGACGTGCTTCCGTCATGTTCGTAGACTTTCACGACACCTAGGTTGAGAAAGCGCCGGCCCTCCTGAGCGAGGCGGATGTGGAGAAGCTGCAAGCGCCGCGCTGGCGTGTCTTTGTCCTGAGGTGCTTGCCCTTCTAGTGGTTCCCTTTTGGCAGGGGTCACTATATTTCCCTTTTTGGTGGGTTTAGACATCACTTTTTTTTGGCCCATGAAAGGTGAGTGTCCCTTGGTGGTGATGAAAGGGGAAATTAACTCGGGAGCCCTGTCTAGTGGTGTCCTAAAGGATGACGGATTCGGAGGGTTGGGATCTGCTCAAAAAAAAACATCTTTTGCAGGACACGCGGCCACATGATGGAGACCGTTGGCATGTTGGAGAAGGCCTGGAGGGGTCAGTGGATCGGTCCCAGATGCCTCTGACTGATTCTCAAGTTGTGGGAGCAGCTTCGCCAATGCAACTTACGTGTCAAGGACTACGCAAATAGCATTCCCGCCGCTGGCACATAGCAGATGCACATTGGATACCTTGACGCGAAAGTAAATGCAATGACCGGTTGACGTCGCAGAACGACGTAACTACCAGTGTTGCTCGGGCACTGAATACGCCATGGCCGAAGTCGATGCGGACAACGACTCCTGGCGGCAAGAAGCGGTGAGAATGCAGAAAGAAGACCCCGAGCTCACGACGGCTGAGATTGCAGAGAAGTTGAAGAAACCTCTGAAGACCGTCAAGAATGCATTGGCGAATGCCCGAAGAAAAGGGGAGTTGCTGAAGTTAGAGGGAGGTGAGACAGGTGGCAAGGCCAGAACTGACAATCAGGACATTGTCAAGTCTGTCGAGTTACCGTATCGCATAGCTCCTATTCCAGGAAAGGGCCTCGGCTTGATCGCAACTCGCAAGATCTTCCGGGGGGACCTGATTGTGGAGGAAAGGCCAGTGCTAACAGCCCCTCAAGGCTTGATGGGACTCATGCAGCTGCAGAAACAATTCGATGAACTGGAAGGTTCAGTGCAGGGTCAGATCATGGATTTATGTGACAAGACGGCGCCGGATGGAAGTGGGAAAACCCTCTTGGGAGTGTTTTCAACAAATGCTTTGCCACAGGGGGTGGGCTCCAGCGATGCAGCACTGTGTCTTGTCATCAGCCGAGCCAATCACTCATGTATCAGCA